TTGCCACCTCTTCTTAATCTCTTCTGCCTCTGTTAGGTCCCTGCCATTTTGGTCCTTTATCATGTCCATCTTTGCATGAAATGTTCCCTTCATATCTCCAATTTTCTTGAAGATATCTCTGGTCCTCCCTATTCTATAGTTTTCTTCTATTTCTTTGCACTGTTCATGTAAGAAGGTCTTCTTATCTCTTCTAGCTGTTCTCTGGAATTCTGCATTCAATTGGGTGTATCTTTCTCTTTCTCCCTTGCCTTTCGCTTCCCTTCTTTCCTCAACTATTTGTAAAGCTTCCTCAGACAGCCATTTTACTTTCTTGCATTTCTTTTTCTTTGGGATGGTTTTAGTTGCTACCTCTTGTACAGTGTTGCGAACCTCCATCCATAGTTCTTTAGGCACTCTGTCTATTAGATCTAATTCCTTAAATCTGTTTGTCACCTCTACTGTATATTCATCAGGGATATGATTTAGGTCATACCTGAGTGGCCTAGTGCTTTTCCCTACTTTCTTCAATTTAAACCTAAATTTTGCAACCAGAAGCTCATGATCTGAGCCACAGTCAGCTCCTCATCTAGTTTTTACTGACTGTATAGAGCTTCTCCATCTTTGGCTGCAGAGCACATAGTCAATCTGATTTCTGTGTTGACCGTCTGGTGATGTCCATGTGTAGAGTCGTCTCTTGGGTTGTTGGAAAAGAGTGTTTGCTATGACCATCGTATTCTTTTGACAAAATTCTACCAGCCTGTGCCCTGCTTCATTTTGTATTCCAAGGCCAAACTTTCCTGTTATTCCAGTTATCTTTTGGCTTCCTACTTTAGCACTCCAATTCCCCATGAGTACGACTGCCTCGCAACAGTGACTCATGCGCTGGTGACTTCCCGTCTTGACTTCTGTAACGCGCTCTACATGGGGCTACCCTTGAAGACAGTCCGGATACCTCAATTGGTTCAAAATAGAGCTGCCAGGCTGCTGACGGGGACTGGACGTTATGTTCACATGACTCCAGTTCTCCGTCAGCTTCACTGGCTCCCCATTGAAGTCTGGGCCCAATTCAAGGTGTTGGTGATGACCTATAAAGCCCTAAACGGCTTGGGTCCTGGTTACCTGAAGGAGCGCTTACATCCATATATGCCCAGCTGCCCCCTGAGATCAGCGGGAGAGGCCCTTCTCCGGGAGCCCTCCGTGAAAGAAATTAGGAGGGTGGTTACTCGGAGGAGGGCTTTCTCAGCGGTGGCGCCTAAGTTATGGAATGCGCTCCCCAGAGAGGTCCGCCTGGCGCCGTCGTTATTTGTTTTTCGGCGCCAGGCGAAGACCTTTTTATTTAAGCAGCATTTTAAATGTTAATACTACTGAATTTTATCTGGCCAGGGCGGCTTATTTTATATTATTTTATAGTGTGTGTGTGTGTGTGTGTGTGTGTATTATTGTTATTATTCTAATGTATATATTTTAATTTTTATTTATGTGGATCTAATTTATTGTTGTAAACCGCCCTGAGGCTTTGGCGAATGGGGCAGCATAAAAATGTTTTAATAAATAAATAAATAAATAAAATAAGGACATCATTTTTTGATGTTAATTCTAGAAGGTGTTGTAGGCCTTCATAGAACCGGTCAACTTCAGCCTCTTCAGCACCAGTGGTTGGGGCATAGACTTGGACTATTGTGATGTTGAATGGTTTTCCTTGGATTCGAACTGAGATCATTCTGTCATTTTGGAGATTGTATCCCAGTACTGCTTTTCCTACTCTTTTATTGACTATGAAGGCTACTCCGTTTCCTTTGAGGGATTCTTGCCCACAGTAGTATTCCTGATGGTCATCTGAATTAAATTCACCCATTCCTGTCCATTTTAGTTCACTGATTCCTAAGATGTCAATGTTCAGTCTTGTCATCTCTTGTTTGACCACATCCAGCTTGCCTTGATTCATGGCTCTTACATTCTAGGTTCCTATGGAGTATAGATCTTTGCAGCATCGGACTTTCCTTTCACCACCAGATACATCTGCAACTGAGTGTCCTTTTGGCTTTGACCCAGTCGCTTCATTCTTTCTGGTGCTACTAGTACTAGCCCTCTGCTCTTCCCCAGTAGCATATTGGACACCTTCCGACCTGAGGGGCTCATCTTCCGGCGTCATATCTTTTTGTCTTTTGGTACTGTCCATGGGGCTTTCATGGCAAAGATACTGGTGTGGGTTGCCATGTCCTTCTCCAGTGGATCACGTTTTGTCAGAGCTCTCTGCTATGATCTGTCCGCCTTGGGTGGCCCTGCACGGCATAGCTCTTAGCTTCATTGAGCTATGCAAGCCCCTTCGCCATGACAAATGTCACTGCCATTGTCTGCAAAAGTTCTTCCACCAGCGTCACCTTGATCTACCACTGCTGCCTAGTAACTGTTCCTCAGGAGTTTCTCTCCCCCATCTCCATTAATGGGATCTGTTCTCTTTGTGCCAGTGTGACTGTTACTCCTGAAGAGGGTGGCTGCATCTCTGACTAGTGTCTCAGCTCTGAGCATTCCACCTTGGGTGACCCTGCTAGGAGACCAGCCTAGTGAGAATATTCTGGCATCCTGGCAGCATTGCTCTTGGCTTCTTTGACACTCTCAGGCCCCTTCACCATGTTAAGGTGTGCCTCCAAGAGAGGGAATGCTATTTTAGCAACCAGTATAATATGCTTTTTATCTTTAACAGAAATAAGCTTCTGTTGTTTTGTTTAATCCAGTCCAGAGATGTGTGTGTGTGTGTGTGTGTGTGTGTGTGTGTGAATGCATGTGTGCGTTGTTTTAAAAATAAACTCTGTAGGATGTTGAGTTTTGTTTAAGTTAGTACACTGTACAATGGATTTCATAGTGTTTTGTTTCTGCTAATTGTAGCCTGGTACATAGTTCAGAGATAATGAGATATCTGTAATGAGATCTAACAGTAACTTCCTTGATACCTTTGGAGAGAAGATGGTTTCATAAGCGAGAGAACTACAGCAGAAACTGAGCTTGCAGCCTCTTAGAACAGAATGGAACAGAAAATCGCTACTATATGTATGCAATTCAAGCTCTGAGAAGTGCAATCAAAGCAACGTTCTCTTCACAACAGTTTTATTATTTCATTTTATTTATTTTCAGAAATGTAAACTATATGAAAGTGACTCTTCCTTCCGCTTATTCAAATCAAACAGGTATCGCAGAAAGTGCTTAGTCTAAAGGCAGGCAAGACTGTTCAAGCAAAGGAGAGGTTCCATGGGATCAACAGCTCTGCTCTGTCCCATTCTCCTAGACCAGCAGCAACTGTTTCAAAAGCCAAGTACTGTAGTTTGCGGGGAAACTTTTGCAGGCATAGAAAAGCATGGCAGCAGGAAGGTAGGTGTTAGAACAGTAATTCTTCAATTGTGTGCCAGGGCACATTAGAAACAAAAGCTTTAATTAAAGGTGCCTTTGAGGTTGAAGCATTCATTCATTGTGCTTATTATATCTCTGCACAAACCACTGCTCCCAACTTGCTTCATTCCTGACAGAAGGCATACGCGGATCTGTGATTCGTGCAGAAATACAGAGAATAGGGCAAGCTCTTCTGTGGGTGAGGCAGTTCTTGGGGTTATGTGCTTTCAAAGTTAATATTTTGAGGTATGAGTGAAGTGGAGGCTTAGAAATTTCTCTTTTTTACCCACTCTTGACTGCAAAGCGTTCTGTAGACAACATGAAGATCTCAGTGGTTCAACAGGTCTGTTTAGGGGGAGACAATCTTCCAGGTAATCTGGTTCTAAGTTATTATATGTTAATATGTAATATATCTTACTACACTCCAGGAGCCTCTTTGGCTGAGAAGTGGAAGAAAAAATATGATCTCTTGACTTGTCAGTTTGCTTAATTCTCATTGCCAAGAACAATGTCTGGTTGTAAACTATCCAGAGAGCTTTGGCTGTGAGGCAATATTTAAATAATAATGAAAATTGTAATGCAAATAATGGTAACGATATAGGCAATATAAGATTTAAGTTAATAATGTAGTATGCTTGGATGAATCTCTAAACTTCCAAAGCTCTGTTTGGGAATGCTGAGCACAATATGGTAAATCAGGGAATAGAAACACAACCTGTGCTAGGTGGGTCACACTCCCCTGAAGATTCAGACATGTGCTTTGGGCACACTCCTATACTCAGCCCTGAACCTGATGCCCAGTGGCCAGGAGTGCATTTGGGCAGCTCAGACTAGTGTGCCAACTGTTCCAATTCCTAGAGGTGTCTGTCCTGATCTCAGCCACACATCCTTCATTTACATCTAGTTTGGACCATGTGACATTCTTGAAGCTTCAGTTGGTCCACCATACTATAGCCAGGCTGTTGGCCAGAGCTGGTCACAAGGAGCATGTGACTTCCTTCTTGCAACAGTCTTGCTGGCTATTGGTTTGTTTCCAGGCTCCATTCCAAATGCCTCTTATGACTTACAAAGTTCTATGCAACTTGAGGCCAGGCCACCAGAAAGACTGCTTTCTCCCATTTGAACTTCTCTGGTTGGGAAAGGCCTTGTTTTCAGTGTTGCTACCTTCAGAGTTGCATTTCAAGGCCACATGAATAAGGGCCTTTTAGGGGCTGCTCTAAGTCTGTGGAGCTCCCTGCAGATCAGGCTGGGCTGGCTCCCTCTCTGCTGTCTTTCTGCCAGCGGCAAAGATGTTTTCACTCAAAGAGGCTTTCGATGTGTAAGCTTGAGAGGGGGATGTTGTTTTTATCCTGTTCTTGTGCTTCTCAGCTATCTGTTTTATTGCTGTTTTACTCATTCTTTCTTTTTTTAATCTTTATTTTCTATCAGTGCAAGCCATCTTTGGTTCCATTTTCTTGGTAGACAGATGGGTTGCAAAACAAATCAATTAATAATAAATATGTATTCCAGTTAAGCAAATATGAACATAATGCAGAATTATATTCTTTAGTTAGTCACTTTAAGTAAGAATCTTTTATGGAGATGTTTTTCATTTAGCTAAATATGATTTTTAAAAACCTCTGCTTTTGTTTTTTCAGAGATCCAACATACTTTGATGAAAATTGGCTAAACAGAATCAAAACAGAAGTAGGAGACAATTGGAGACTGAAGGTATTTTCATTGCTTAACTGTATTATTTGTTTTTAGTCACAAAGTATTGCAATTATATGTGCACTGGATTTTAGTTTCCCTTCCGAAAGGCTCAGATTACATTATAGAATGACAAATAATAAATGTCAGCTAAAGATCAATCTATATTAAAAGTATAATTAATTCTTAATCTTCCTGTGTTTTGAGAGCCTTTCCCCACTTAATGTGTGTCACTCAATATCCCATATATTCTCTATCAGTAATTGATGTTTTCTGTGGTATTTCAACCCAGATCCACTCCCAGTGTGCTTTTGTTAATCTGGGGGTTTTATTAGGCTGGTATTGGGGTCAGTTAGACCTCACTTAAAGTGAAAATTAGATTCTGCACATTCACTGTATTGGAAGAAGAGTCCCCATGACTTCAAACTGATGGAAATATAATTACTGTTTTATGTTGGAGTCATTGTCAAGTATGCCTTATGTCTTAACTAAACTAAGGTCTGTTTGACTCTCATATCATGTAAGCCCTGCCCCTCAAAAACAGGCCTAAAGAGAATCTCTTTTCTTTCCATAATGAAGCAGATGCTTTAAGCAGCTCCTCCAGAGCATTGGACTAGGTGGTACCATCTATTTTCTTCTGTACATCCAGTCTTTCTCTTGCCATCATTGTGAATGGTTGCAAGTTCCAGGGTCTAGTTTGCTTTACCTAAATTAAATTGGTTGAGGCTAGAGTTGACTTTGTTTGGAAATCAGACTGAAGATAGATGTTATATAGTCAGATCTTGCTATGCTCTGTTCCTTTCTCACCTACAGTTCTTGACATTAAGGTCAAGTAGAGCCAATTTTTCTTTGTAAAAATGCATTGTCTTTTCCTGTAGGTCCTGGTTTATGGCAACAATAGGACCCAGTTGGGACTTTTAAAATATTTATAGCAGATAGGAGAAACACAGTGTTAGGCTATTTCTTTTGTGTTAGTTATCAGTGCATTACCTTTCAGTGATCGGTAACCCTGCAGAGTTGCAACATTTATTCTTCCCTTTCTTTTTTGGATCAGCTATTTCTGTTCTATGTTAGTGAAGCAGTGTGTTAAAATCTTGGCGTATGGATTTGAGAAGCATTATTGTACTTTTATTTTATCAGTCAGCATGTGAATTACCAGTAGTAGAAGTCAGTGAAATATAATTACCCATAATTTTGGAATGAAAACTTCTTTTCAAGCAGCATGGTTACACTACACTAGGGATCGACAAATGAAGGCCTGAAGTCCACATTTCTTCTCTTTCCATATACACACATGCACGTACTCTGAAGTTGTTCCCAAGTGGCAACCTAGAGGAGAGATTTTGGATGGAAGAAGCGGCAGTTTTGGACTCATGACTTGTAGTCTGCTCCAGTGGGTAGAGATGGCTTTCCCCCTGCTTGTAAAACTAGATGCTGACCCGGATTGACCATCATAGGCAAAACTATTGAACTAATCCTCTTTATGTTTGCACCACAGTTTTTGCAGAAGGCAAAGGTCAAAATTGCTTTTCATTGGAGTTCTTTTCAGCCTAACCTGCTGATCTGGAGGTAAAATGGGAGCTTCTGTCTTGAGTCCCAGAATCCTCTTGGCTACTTAAAATCAAGCAATGGAAGGAACTGCTATACTTTATGTTCTTTTAAAATCTTTGTTGATTTTAAAGTCCCAAAAGCTTTTGCTGAATCTTTGCTTAATCATGTCTTGGTAGTATTGTTATGGTAGAGAAATATACTATAAATTACTTTTGCTTTTGTTTTTCATTTTGTAAAATCTGACCTTCTGGTGATTCAGGGCTGATCTACACAGTACTTGTTTACCTACAATAAATACTTCTGTCCTTTAAGACAAAATGCAACTTGATAGGAAAATGGCACTGATAATGGAAATACAGTTTTCTGGCCATCTCCAAATATCACAAATAGATGCTTGCATTTTTTAAACGTCTGAGAGAAGATAAAAACATTCTCCCATATTTGGGGGAATAAAAATAGGAAAATTTACTGGAAGATCAAAAATAATTGTAAGCACTTTGGTCCTCAAAAATATATCTAAATTACATGCCACTGGGACCCATAACCAGTGCTTCTATAATGATGTCAGAATTGAGGTAATTTGACCGGTTCTTCCTCTACTGCATCACCAGCTATTCAACTTGTGGACAAAGTTCTTATGATTGCTAAACAATGGTTTTCACTTGCCAGAGAATTCACAGCTTTATTAAAATTAAATTTATTATCAGCTGGATACTCAATAGACTTAAGGAAGCTGTCAAGTCAGTGGGTCACCCTGGAGTGTCTGCCTTGCATTTGCTTCAGTGGGCTGTGTCAGCAGGATTGATTCCCAGTTTTTGTGTTGCATTATTTCCTATGTATGCATTTGCTTTCTTATCCCTTTCAAGGCATTACTTGTTGATTTTCCCCCCTTCTGGTAGCACAGAATAAAAACTAAGATGCTTCACTGCAGCCAGAAAGTATTTAGGATTTAAACCTTGAAATAATACCTAATATTTTAAAATTTGTGATATGGCTGGAGGTAATGTGGACAAATGAATGGCATGCCCCCACAAAGAGAAGGAACAGGCAAATTCTATCCAGACGACCGTGTCAACCATTTGAACACTAAATGCATAGCTCTTATTTGATGGCATGGCTGAATTGGATTTTTGTTATGGTTTTCTAGTGCTGAAGACACTATGTTTGTACCATTTTTCATCTCATGTTCATCTTAGAAATATTTTTGCAGGAATCCACTGCTTGGTCATGCACAGTGCTTGCTCTATTCAGATGGTAGATATTACAGCATGCATCTTCAACCAAAAAACAGCCCTCTTATGACCTAGTCAGTCAGTTGTTTAATTTTCTTCAAGTTAATGCTTGTTTAAGTGCTGGGGCATGCTCGGAGTTGCTGATGCTTCTTCTATCTAAACAGGCATAGGACTAAGCCTTTAGTAAATCATGTACTCAATCCCATTGTGCCTCTTAGATTCTGTTTGATGATTCTGTGAGTTTGGTAATGGATCTTTACATCTTTTGTTTACATTTGAATGCTTTTATATATTAAAAAAAAAAGGTTCAGCTTCAAGTTCTGCACTTATTCAGACAACATATATTACCATTTGCAATATTTTTTTCTCCTTTCATGGGTCCTAAATTCCAAGATTTATCCTTTAAAATTTTTCAAAAAAGAGCAAACTGAAGTCCTTTTTATATTAGGTAATGTTAAAACATGGAAGTAGAGAGGAATGGAATGTTTGCATCTTTCAAGTTACCAGAACAACAAAACAGGATTTATTTATTTATTTATTTATTTAAAACATTTCTATGCCACCCCGATCGCAACAAAGCCTCGGAGCGGCTCACAAAGAATACATAAATACATACATACATAATGATAATATAACTATTAAAAAAATCGTTAAAAAACCCCCGGTGCATTCTCGGCTAAAAATTTTAAAATCCTAATTAATTCAATAATTTAACAATTAAAATAAATTTTAAATAAAAAGGTCTTAGCCTGACACCAAAAAACAAATAACGACAGCACCAGGCGGACCTCTCTGGGGAGCGCATTCCATAGATGGGGTGCCACCACAGAGAAAGCCCTCCTCCGGGTACTCACCCTCCTAATATTCACAGAGGGTTCCTGGAAAAGGGCATCTGTTGCTGATCTCAAGGGGCAAGAGGGCATATATGGAATTACTTTTTGAGATAGTCCAAAGAATTTTTACAACATTAAATAAAAATAGGAATAGAATTTATAGTACTTTCAGCTATATCAATTGATGTTCCTGCGCACAAGACAGTGCTACTGCCTGCCCTGCCCACTTCTGCTGTGTCAAGAGTTGCTTTTCATGTTAGGCTGATATGGAGGAGCAGATACTGCTAAGAAAAAGCTCAGGAATCTTACTGGTGTGCATAAAGTTCACACCATGGGACAAAATAAATTTAAAACTCTGGTGTGAAAAAAGGAAGCGTCATTATGTACAATGAAGCACATGAGAGTAGAGGTCCAACTCCCAAACCCACTGGTGTAAGTAATTTCTTCTCTGTTGATTTTTCTGTGTTCCCATGACCATAGAGGAGGCAGAATCTGGAAATCAGTAAAAAAAAAAAAATAGTAGAATCATGATTTTGTGATTTTAATGGTTTTGCAAAAAAAGGCTTCTGGCTATAAGTAAGAATCCTTGTAGATTTCAGTGTGTGATTCTGCTTCTGTGTATCTTTCTATGGTAGCTTCTGTATATATATGTATTTCTTCCCTTCTAAAAGGTGAGCAATCTGAAGAAAATTTTGAAAGGAATTTTGGATTACAATCATGAGGTAAGTAGGCTTTTGCTTTGTGAAGTAAACCGATGTGATCTGGGTTTTTTGTTTTTTTACTGTATTAGGTTGCAGTCCTGTGGCTGCTAGCATGGCTGTAGGATTATTTGGAGTCCCCGCTTCAATCTCCAAAACTGGCTCCAAGGCTGGAGTTAGAATTCTGAACAGAGCATCTCCCTCTGGCCTTGCAGCCAGTGTGAAAAGAACCATGCCAACTGTAACACCAATGTCATAGGAATGACCTCAGACAGACTTTCGGGGGTAGCAGTTGGACAAAACGGGCTCCTCCAGCATCTGTAATATCCTGGGAAAAACAGGCTTGTACTTCTCACACTCTGGCACATCTAAATGTTTTGCAGGGTGGAAGAAGATGGAGGCAGACAGTGTCTCCATGTTCTTTTTGCCCTTCATAAAGGTAAAGGTTTCCCCTTGACATTAAGTCCAGTCATGCCTGACTGTAGGGGCAGTGCTCATCTCCGTTTCCTAGCTGAGGGAGCCAGCATTTGTCCGCAGACAGTCTCCGTGGTCATGTGGCTGGCATGACTAAACACCAAAGTGCACGGAACACTGTTACCTGCCCACCGAAGTGGTACCTTTTTATCTGCTTGCATTTGCATGCTTTCGAACTGCAAGGTTGGCAGGAGCTGGGATGGAGCAACAGGAACTCACTCCATTGTGCACATTCGAACTGGCAACCTTTTGATCAACCAGCCCAGCAGCACAGTGGTTTAAACCACTGCGCCACCTGCAGTCCCTTTGCCCTTCATAGGATGCCTTTAATCCTTTGACTTTGGAGAGTTACAGGCAGCCTTACTGGAATGCACTGCCTGCAGGGTAACTTGTAAATAAGGATTTGCTACAGGTAAAAGTCCAGTTGTTAATTGTAGGCATGTTGTGAGTTGTTCATAAACCCCTGACAAGCCTTCTTAGCAGGCTTGCCTATTTAAAGCAATAATCAATTGCTCATCACACAGTTTATTTATCAGACCAATTTAGATTGCGAGCCTCTTTATATTAAATGTATGACATTAGACCGTTTGCTTTGAGGATGACTGTGTAACATAACCCAGAAAAATGAGTTGAATCTTATATGAATGTACCTTATTTTGAATGCTGAAAGCCTGTCTATCAATACATTTTCTATGCCCCCCGCAAGTAAATTCTGAAGGTTAAAAATAACTATCGTTGACAGCTTTGGAATATGGAAAAGTGCTGAAAGCAATTCTAATGATTTTCATTGGAGAGCCTTTCATTTTCCAAAAAGCTTACATTAAAAAACCCCAAGGTGCAACAAATGGTCTCTAGAATATTCTGGTGAAGGGACTCAGCAAAATATGTTTTCTTTATTATCAGTTCTGAGAAAAAAAGTATTATTCACACAAAATGTTGATTGATCTGAGCATGCTTCATTTTGTCAGTTGTAGCTTCTTTATTTTGAAAGAAGCTGGGTTATGTGACAATTATTTTGCTATTGACCTTTCAGAAGGCTGGGTGTAAACTGCTGTTTTAAATGCAAATGCTAGCAGAAAGGTGAGATATATAATGAATGCATTTCATTCAGATTTTCTGTGGAAGGTTTTGACCATGACCGAGTCCAGTTCATGTCAAACAGCTACTCGCCTCTAAGGTGGAAATACACAGAAATCAAGACTCAGTCAATCAATTTACTGGACAATGAACATGGCAGCATGGCCATGGTTATACAATGGTATTAGCGTTGTGAGTAGAAGCTGACTTCTGCATGCAGATCTGACATTGTTAACTAGCTGAGGGAGGCTGTACTAGATGTCTGAAGGCAAGACATTTATGAGGGCATGATTTGTAGCCGAGGTGTGTGTAGGAGAAAGCTTAATGGCTTTTTCCAGTTGCTTGAGGAGTAGGTCACAGAGTAAATTCACGGGAAAGGGAAGGGTTTTCCCATTTCTTCCTTCTGTTTCTCCAGTGGAGATAACACCATTGCTACTTTTGGTTTGCAGTTGTTTGGTGGGGTAGGCTTGCAATGGAAGGCCTGGTTTGGAACCTCCCATGTGTTACAGATATGCTCTCCCTGTACAGTTTGCAATGTCTGCATTTTGGTTTTTGTGCAGATATTGGGGCAGCAGATCAATGACTTTATCCTTCCTGATGTCAACTTGATCGGGGAACACTCTGATGCTGCTGAGCTTGGAAGAATGCTTCAGCTTATTTTGGGCTGTGCTGTAAACTGCGAGCAAAAACAAGGTCAGTTAATCTTTAATTTAAAAGATGCATAATTCAGACCAGCACCAATGACTTCTAACTTTAGATGACCAAGACACAAATTGTTCACCTAGCATTGTTTTTCATGTGTCATTGGTTGACTATGTTGTTTGAAAAAACTACAGATGAACTGTTTATTTGTTTACTGGGCCAAGAAATGCTTAACAGTAATGGAACTCTACAGACTTCTACCAGAAATGATCAACCGTTTTGGTGTGATATGACGTTTACCATCTTGAAAGGAGTTCTGTTTATTTTAAAGACATGGAAAAATAAGGATAAATCTTGACATGAGTCCCTTGATAGTCAAAGTCGCCATCTTGAGCAGAGAAATGGGAGGGGCATGTGCAAACCTTTCACTTCCTGTCATTGTTTTACTTCCTCTTGCTTTTTCAAGTATGTATTGTGGGGGGAAGATGGGAATCTGCTTTTCTACCCCACATGTAGTTAGTCAAGCAACTGTGTGAGAAGGGAATGATTCTGAAAAGACCAGTGGAAAAACATTTGCTCCACAACTCACCTCTCATTCCCCTCTAGCCTCTGGATATAAAAACTGTTGCATACATGTATGTGTAACTTCTAATTGGGTCAAAAACCTTTGATGTGATGGAAGACTAAATTCTTTGTTACATATGTCATATTGGATGTTACTTTCTATTGTGCATGTGTGCAAATTAGGCTATTGCACACTTTGCTATATAGAAGGGGTGGCCAAGCCAAGGCATTGGGAGCTGCATGCAGTTCATGAGTTTATTTTGTGGCTCTCTGCTCACTGCTCGTGGGCACACAGTTGCCATTTGCTGCCGCCACCACCTCTGGGTGCCCACTTGCCGCTTGCTGCCTGCTGCTGTGTGTGGGTGCCAGCTTGCAGCTCTCAAATATGTGACATTTGCCATATGTGGCTCTTCCATTGAGCAAATCTGGCCACCTCTGATAGGCTATTCTATAGCAATGCTACTTATTGCCCCCTCCCTCCCTCTCTGTCCCAAAAATTCCTGAAGTACTGTGCTGTCTGCTACCCAAAGTGACCTTTAAAAAAGATGAATTGCTCACTTAGCAGTACACCTATATATTTTCCCAGAGAACTGAAGAGAGTATGATAGTCTTTGGCCATAGTGCAAAACATTCACTTTTTGCTTTCATCTATTTTCCCTTGTCAAAATGGTTTTGCAATGCCACACTTCCTTCTGCACTCTAGAAAAGCTAAAACTAATCATGGCCACCACTTCAGCTATGTAATAGGGATGTGAGAGTGCCACTGCTGCAGATCAGGTGCAGTGTGTGGTGAGTTTTCAGCTGTCTTTATAAAGTTTTTAATTTTGGGGGTGTGTTTAAAGGATGAGTGCTTATCTACACAGAGCCCTAAAAATAAGGCCAAAGTGGCACACAAACTTCTTTTCCTTTCATTTCAAGAATGTTTCCCTACCCTCCTAATCTTATGTATGAGTTAAACCTGTTAAGTTTGCTTGCAAGAAGTCTCCAGATAGGCAGTTTCAATTCCTTTACCCTTTCCTCCACACACAAATGGAAAGGGAAGTGATCACTATTGGGAGAGTGTGCATTTTAGTGAAAGCAGCTATGATTTCTTAAGACAGAATAAACGGTTTTTATCTCTTGCCGCAAAAGGAATTCTACTACTATATTTATTCATTTGCCAAGCTACAAATGCTCGATGGGGCTAGTACCATAGTTGTATTGTGGGGAAGTTGCTTTCATTGCAGCACAGAAATAAATCGCTTTGCCTAGCCTTTGCCTCATTTAACTGTTCAAAAGGAAGCATCTATGCATATGACATCCTTAATATTGCTGGAAGCATGGAGGAGTTTATCTTTGTTACTGTCATAAGTATTGAATGATTGCATGCCAAAATGCCTCTTTTACAGAATACATCCAGACCATCATGATGATGGAGGAGTCTGTTCAACATGTTGTCATGACTGCCATTCAGGAGGTAAGGAAGTGAGCAATGGTCTCCTGAAGATATACAGCAGTCCATTATAGATGTTTCTTTTAGCTTAACAGAAAAACAGTTCATAGAAAAGGCTTGAAATGTGACGCTTGAAGAAACCAGAAATGTTTTCAATTGCTACTAGGCAAAATAAAGTCTTGGAATGTTGATTAAAGATTTACTAAGATGTTCCACTTTTCTTTAAATCTAGAAGATTTGAACTTCTGGATGACACTAGGTTCCTTTCTTGTCTTTCCTTCCCCCTAGTTCCCACAATAAATTTAGAATTGCTAGTTTATTTAGCAATAGAAAATTCCATTACTGAAACATGAGTGAGGAGGCTTGCTAAGGCTAAATCCTATATATGCCTCAATGAGCACAGATGCATAGGATCATATGGTAATAATCTTTTGATTCTAGGTGTTTAAAATTGGAAGAGAGCTTCCCATCAGTTGGAACTGGATTTTAGTTGCTTGATAGTCATATGTGCAAATCTTAGCATACTAAGTAGTGAATAGCAATTGAGTAATAATATGATACCAGTTTTGCTGTTTCATTGAGATAACCAGCCTAATTTTCCAATCTAACCAAAGTGTTAAGCATTTTGAAGCCCTGTTAATTTAAGTGGGAAAGGGAAAATGTCCTTAAATCTTTATCACGAAAATTATTGGCATTGAAAAATGTTTAGCTTTGGTTTTCTGAATTCCTTTTTTTAATTAGTAACTTAATGAATTCTGGAGTAATTTCTCTGTAACTGAAAAATAGTAAAGTGGAGGGAAATAATCACAGCTCCCTGATCTTGTGTTAAATCAGCAGGGGTCCACCTGATAAGGATTTGTTGGTTTAAAGTTAGGTTGTAACAGAGTGGTATGTTAACTAAATATTTGTTAATTGGGTGGAAGTGACAAAATAAAGAAGAATTAGAAGAATAGAAGAATGGTTAGGGAGCAGTCCTATGGCCAGCCAACATTGTCTGTGGAGCTGCAGTATTATTTGGGATCCTCCAGCTTTGAGGTACTGTCACCTTGAAGTTGGGAGTCTGAAGGGTGAGCCCCTGTCCCATCTTTCCTGCAGTCAACATAGAAAGAGCCACATCAGCCACTTCCCTGAGGTTGCACCTGGGCCTCAGACTGTACACAAAGAGACCTGCTATGGGTGAGGAGTGGTGGAGGCTGCCAGCAGTACCTCAGCAGGCCTCCCTCTCCCTCTGCATCAATATTCATCTAGATGAAATGCAGAGCAATGTCCTCTTCCACCCTATGCTATATACATAAAAGGAAATTCCATACAGTAAAGAGTCTTTCTAATGTCAGTTAAAAGCTTCTTCTTGGCAAGGTTAGCTTTGTTTATTGCTTTCTGATTTAGGCTGGAGAATTAGTTAGGAATAGTCTTTTTTTGTCTTTGCCAATATCAGTTGCCCTTCCTATAGGGAAAGTTTGAATTCTTGATTTCCTTTCATAGTTTTTTTCCCTTATGTTATTTGACCAATTTAAAAATCATAAGAGGAAATAATTTAGTAAAAACATACATAAAATCAAGATGGAATTGGTAATAAACCCCCACTTCCCTTTGAGAGGAGAAACTGTTACTTAGATTTAACAAGGCTAAACATCACTGCTCTCCTAGCTCAGAATAACAGGAAATGATACAATGGGCCAGTCACATGTAATGGCAACACACTGTAGATTATTTGATGATTTGTCACAGCTGTGCACAGCTGTTTTGAATATTCAGCCTTTGGTTGGGGGTTGCTACGTGACATCCAAACAGGGACATTATAGGTTTACAACCACAATTAACCTAGCTACTAATTGTAGATTAACTGTGCAATTTTAAACTCAAGATTAACCTGTAATCTCAGGATCCATACATCACATGACAACTCCCACTTGGAGGGTGAATATTCGCAATAGCTGCAGAACCAGCCTAGCTTGCCCTGCAACAAATTGTGGGTTACCTGCAAACCTGGTCAATAGGTTAAACTTTCATAGGACATTTAAAATGTATGGGAATGCTTTGATAGGGCTTGATCTATCCACACTGGACGGGATGGCGCTGCAGATGTGCTTACTACATCACCACAATCAAGTGCAAAGGAATACAGCAATACTGTCAGAGCTGAAAAGTACCTCAAAGTCATCTAGTCCAGTGCAGAAATCTGGTATAGGTAGCCATCCTACGGAAGGGTTACAAAGAAAATAGTGGGATGCAGTGACCTAACAATGACAGTGTGGATGCGCCATAAAAACTGAATAAGGGAAATGTAACAATTACAGAGAAAAGGTACAGTGTGGAAAGATATATAGTGAGTGTTGTAAAGGTAAAATTAATTTGGCACTGAAGAGAACAGTGTCTGGTAATGACTCAGCAAGTAGCTTCACAGACTCTTTGGCTTCTGTCCACCATGAGGGCAAGCCACAGTGCTGCTTTCTTCATAATCCTTGAGATTTTTCCCCTAGGAAGGGAAAACTCTGGGACAAGTATGGATGGTGATAAAAGTAGTCTGATGTGGAATAACAAGGGTATGTCTCAAGATTGTTCTTCTCAAGTAGTTCCTCCATACTGCAGTCAGATCTATCATCCTCTGGATGAAATGCCCTAGTTTTTATGGGAAAGGACGGAAACATCCCCAATTCCAGATTCTAACCAAGTAAAGTGAACTTCAAAGGGTGCTGAAAAATCTATTTATTAAGGCACACATTTTGAAATGTTTTGAGCATGAAATGACAATTATCTGTGGTTAAAGATGTGATACTCATTCAGAAACTCATCAGGTCTAACATAATTTCTGAATTGTTTCCATGAATAACAGACAATAAATAACAAGGCATCTTTTGTGGAGGCATCTGTTATTCAAAATTGATAACCTCAGTAGTAGCAGTGCATATGGTTAAATATAATGGTCATGAAAATGTGCAAATATGCAATACTACTTGAAGAAACATATTTCCAGCTCATTGACACACCACATTCTTGCAGTAATCTCCACTTAATTTGAGATGTATATTTTCTAGTGATCTTGGTCAACAATTGAGTCTTCATATGTTGTAGAGTTTATAATAAAAACATAGGTTGTTTCCTTTCCAGCAGCTGTTCACACAATCTGATGCTTAAATATATCTGATCAAGTGATACAGTCCACATCACATTCAGTGAACTGACATTTACACACACAGTCAATTATGAGTTGTCTAAGCACTGTGCACAACTCATGTGAACAGTTGCATGATTTCCTGCTTTGTGGCTTCTTTTCCTTTCCTTTTGGAGCCAGGTCATTTTTACATGTGTGCTGTAACATCTATATGCTCATTCACTAATACACATTATAAGTTGTGTCTGCCAGAGGAAACTGACACCCTCGCTATTCCACAATCCTGGGGATAGATCTGATCTAGGATTTTTCTTCTCAAGGTCATCCTTGCTTTCAGACACAGACTGCTTAAAATCTGGAATGTGAAGAAGTGCATACAATTGCAGGTCTCATTATAAAATGTTAGCATTAATAATTAAAAACAAGCAAAACCCTGAATGTTCAATTTTGGGAACAGAAAATGTGATGGGAAATATCCAAAAATGATTCTGAGATATTAAGGGCTCAAAAGTGACATGAAGTGTGGGAAGCATGTTGGTGTAAAGTTTATGTTGTAAACACAGAGTAGGAATTCTTTTATCATTAGCAAAGAGGTGTCCTCCCCACCACTAGAAAATTATTTTTAAATGTACCTGTACTTGTGGAATCAACTAGTAAAAGTAAGTTACTTTCTTGGCTGGTTACCTCTGACTTTTATTTGTACATATGGACATGACCAAAATTTCCTCATATTTTACACTGCCCTGTTTTTTAAACGAATACAAATAAATCTTTTGCTTTTTCTAATCCAGTGTAATCTAATTGCAGTTGATGAGTAAAGAATCTCCAGTGTCTGCTGGAAATGATGCTTACGTTGATCTTGACCGTCAGGTATCTAATACCAGATGTTTCATTTTCCTTTCTTCAGTGGAGCTCACTGTACAGTTTTCGTGGCATATTGAAAATGAGCTGCCATTTGTTTGTTACATTGCCTTTTCTAGTTTGAATATGTAAGAATCTATTGAGAAACGTTAAAGTAAAGGAAAGCAAACAAATTTGAATGCAACTGGAGTGTTTTGTTAAGTCATTACTAGCTGGCAAACTCTTAAAAGGTCAGAAGTTATGTCAATGGAGACTTAACATCAGTGGACTCCCATGCATTATATTTTTGGGTAACCTTGCCAAAATGATGCACAATGATCACTGTGTATCATTTTTGTTAATTTTACATCAGGTTCCCAAGGTGATGCCACAAAGAAATTCCCTTTCTGTAGCATGCTCTCCTTCCCTGATACTAACTTGTAAGGGCCAGTAAATGACAAATGTGAAGGTGCCACTCCTGTTAAATTGGCATGAAGTAAAAAAAATTGGCATTTTCATACTGAATAAACCAAATAGTTGATTTCAGCTGCAGTGCTTTTTCTCCTTTCTGCCAGCAAAGTATCCAATTTGGATCTTTGATGAAAACTTTTAGTGCTCTTTCTTAACCTCGCAAGTGTTTCAAATATGTAACTGGCAAAATGTGTATAAATATAGTTTGGCTTGTTTTACAGAAATGTGGTTTTTTTTTTTTTGCTTAATAAACATTGATACAGAATTAAATGAAGATACATATTTATAATAGTTAATATTTCTGTACTTTAATTATGGAATAATTCTATCTCAAGATCTTACATATGATATCATAGGATACTCTAAAAGAAACCCTAGGAAGTATATGACTTCCTTCACTGAATGAAATAAGCAGAAATGATTTCACACAGAAAAAAATTTACAACTATCCTGAACTTTCATGTGCCTGTTAACTTTTTTAACATGAGAATGTTTATGAGTCTAGGCCACCCTTGCCCATCTTGGGTGATGGCAGAGAGAAAGTGGAAAGGAAGTTAAAAGTGTAACAGTGCAATGTGTTTAGCAAAGAGGTGGATGTTGAAACTATTCTCTGCTTGTTTGGGAAGGAACAAACAACACGTATCTTGGCAGGAAACTGCAAGCTTGCAGTGCAGAAAGTCCTGGGGTCCTTCCTTTATGTTTTGTTAAAAAAAGATCAGGTGATTGGAAAGACCCTGTCCAATACCCTGGAAAGCCACAACTGTTTGTGGTAGTAAATGTGGTATAAAGCAGCCATCTGTGTTCCCAGATAACCCAGCACAAAACTTCCCCAAGCTGGAATAGAATCAGGGACCTATCTAGGTTTTCCCTTTATTGTCTATTCCTTGTGTTTCCTCTCCCAGTCTTTTGTGTTATATGTAAAAAAGAGTTAAAATGTATGCAATTCATTCCCTGAATCCATAAAGAAAAGTGGCTTTGAAAAACTTTACATGTTGTGCATACTATTCTTTCTGGCGTATAGCGATTGTGTGCCCCAGTATGTAAAATATTTCTCTTTCTTATTAATGTATAATGTTTGCGATTGAATGATTGCCATTCAGAAAATAATGTAATTAGCCAATTTGTTATAGTTGTGCACTTTATTCCAAAGTGGTTATTTTTGTATGGATAGGGAGACGCTGTGCATCTGGTGGTCTCATGCATTTCTTTTCACTGCTTCCTGGCCTGTGAGAGACAAATATTTTGTCTCTTTGGGATTTGGGAGATTTTGTGGAAAAATGGACAGAATAAGCTGTCATGATGTGCACAGCTCTTTAACATGTGCATGAATGAGTGTTTTGGATCATAGCCCTAGAGAAAGTATTGCCTCATACTATTTTAGCAAATGAAAATGTATTTTGTTTAAAAACACAGTTGAAGAAAACAACAGAAGAATTAAATGAAGCTTTAGCAACCAAAGAAGAAATTGCTCAGAGATGCCATGAACTGGACATGCAGGTAAGTGGTCTGTTGCACAGTATGCTTTAAATTACAGTTTGCAATTCAGCATTCTTAATCTTGGACTATAAAACATAAACATCCTCTTTTTTAAAGGGTATTTGATCAGTTATCTATTAAAGAACTGTGTGGCTCAGTTCAGGCAGAATGCCAAAGCATGTTTTGGCCTTAAATAATGAAAACTTAAGCATGTGCACCCTATCTGTTCCTTTCCCTTACATGGCCCCTTACATTCCTTTTCACAGCAAACCATAGTTTGTCTAGCTCCAGTGCAGCAGCAAACCATGGTTTGCTGCAAAAGAGGCAGCCAGGGTGACCTCAGTGATCCTGAGGCTTGCTCCTGTCTGAGTCAAGCCTATTGCTCAACTGCCTACCCATTACAGTACTAATGACTTTGGTTCAATTTAGTTTGTATTTCCACATTGTATTTGCAAATCTGAGGAGGACAGATCTATTTATTTATTATTATCTATTTAACTTATATTCCGCTAAACTAGTCCAAAGACTCTCTAAGAGGATTAAAATATTAAATAAAATAACAGTATTTCATAAAATAGCAGTAATAAAAAACAACTTACAATAAAGCAGAGAACTATACAGCTGAGGTCAAATATTAGTAAGTTGAAATATTTTAAAGGTAAAACTGTACAAATAATATTCTAGTATAAAATCAATTATTCAAAAGTCTGGAGAAGAGGACTTGCTTGTACCAGCAGTCATTCTTCCCTATTCTGTACTAGATGTAGTTTCAGGACTGTCTTCAAGGGCAAACCCAAGTAGAGCACGTAACATTAGTCAAGCCGAGAAGTTACCAGAATGTGTGTGACTGTGGCTAGGCTAGGCTCTGCCTGTCCAGATAGGGCCACAGTTGGTAAATTAGACGCAGCTGAAAGAAGGTGCTCCTGGCCACCGAGTCTACCTGAGACTCAAGTGATATCCCTTGGCATTTTGGCATTTTAATGCCACAGAATAGGCAATATAATGGGCTCTAAGCCATGCTAGGTCAGATTCACCCTTGTTATCTCCTCCACCTGCACTCTAGTTTCCTCCCCTCTTGCTTCATCGCCCTAAGCTCAGTTGTATACCATGGAGCTGGTCGGGCTGTGTGAGAGGGAAAAGGACCACTTAGAAGCGATTGCGTCAACCACCTGATTCATCTCTGCATTCTACAGAGCAACTTGGGCTTCGACAGGTGTGCCAATCATGTCAGTTGGAGACCTCAGGAAACTTTCCGGATCCATCAAGACTTTAGATGTTTAGTTTGGAAGGTCTCATTTGCAATCTTGTTTCTTTTCATTTGCACTCTCATTTGCAATCCCGACCCAATATTCCAGGGACCATGGAAGATAGTGGAAATCCTCCTCTGAGGCTGGAGAGAGAACTTCAACTGCAGAGGAGATGTGCCCTCAGAGGAGACCTGCCCTGCTTCCATGGAAACAGCCACATCACTCACCTTTCCAACAGTGGCGCTCCACTGTTGGAAGGAGAGAGGATTGGGAGGGTGACATGGGCAGAGTGAGAATCCCTCCAGTCCCCAGTCACACTTTCCAACACAGGGAAGAGTTGACATCAGTTGCCCTGTAGCTGATGTAAGAAATAATTGCTCCCATTGCTTGCTTGCAGTGGAAGAGAAATAGTAAAAGTAAACAAGAGGGGCCAAATCTGCCCCTTTTGTCAGAAAGAGCCAGCAGAGCTTTTGGATATATCAAAGATTCCAGTATCAAAGCTCTCCAAACTAGGAGGTAGGCGTGGTGTTAATACATTGCACCAGATCTTCCCAAATTGGTGCCCTCTAGATGTTGGATGGCAACTTGCATCATCTCCTGCAGATGTGGGAAGGTTGCCTAAGACCACCTATCAAAGACTTTCCCCCAAGTTTCCCTAGGAGTGTATTCTAGTAAGTTCATGGTAGAAACAAGGCATGAACCAAGGATTTGAAGGTTCACTGCTAAGACACTAAGACAAGGGTGGGCAATTTGTAGACTTCCAGATCTGTTAGCCCAGAGCTCTTGCAGCTGTAGTCAGTAGTGGGGGATAGCAGGAACTGTAGGCAAAAACATCTGGCAGCCCACAAATTATCCATGTTCTAAGGGCTTTCAATTATTATAAATATCTTTTAACAAACTATGAGCATTTTATGGGGGGTGTATGCTGGGGGAGCACAGACAAGATGCTTCAAGCAATTCTTTTTTTTTTCTTTTCTTTTTTCTGAGCAGAAAAGTGGAAAAGAAAGTGTGATCTCACATGTGCATCAGGGCTTTTAATAGCAGAAAGCCCCCATTCCTGTGCATGTTTATACACATGCATACACACATGTGCATCCCAACGCACTTTCTTAGCCATACATTGCTTGTCACTCTTACGTTTTGATAACAGGTTGCTGCACTGCAAGAGGAGAAAAGTAGTTTGCTAGCAGAAAACCAGGTTTTGATGGAACGCTTGAATCAGTCGGATTCTATAGAAGATCCTAACAGCCCAGCAGGACGCAGACACCTGCAGCTACAGACACAGTTGGAACAGCTCCAGGAAGAAACATTCAGGTAAATGCTTCACAAGAGGAGGGGCAGCACAACCGAGTGCAGCTGCCTGAAACCTTCCAAACTCAGATCATAGCCCCTCCCCCCACGGAGGGCAAGAGGAATATATAGATGAAGGTTGCCTATGTGCTTCTCCCAACCTGCAAAAGATGTTGCAGGCTGAAGTGTTTTGCTCCAGAGCACTAGGAGGGAAAGCTCGGGCACCACCAAAAAACTACGTATGCCAGCAGAGCCTGTCTGCCCCTGGAACATCCACAAAGCGCCGTCTCTGAGGCTGCTGTTGTGACTTTGAAGTCTCAGCCCGCATGACTGGAAGGTGCTCCCAGATCCAACCTCACAGCAAATTCCTGAGATTAGAGCTGAAATTCTGAACACAGCATCTAGTAGACAAAGGATCATAGCCTAAAACGGGGATCCTCAAACTTTTTGCATAGGGGGCCAGTTGAAAGGTCCCAGCGATAGGCGCGGGCCGCCAAGGTGGTATGGGCTGGGGCAGGGGTACGGGCACATGCAGAAAGACAGGGACATGCCTGCCCAGAGATTCTTTTCTCCCAACGAGTCCAAAACAATCTCCCTGCAAACAAGTCGGCGCCTCGAGTCCGGCTTGCTCACAAGGAGATGGTTTTGGACTCACTCAGAGAAAAGGATCTCCCAGCAAGGTGCTGACTTGCTCTCAAGGAGATCCTTTTCTCTGAGTGAGTCCAAAATGATCTCCTTGTGAGCAAGCTGGCACCTTGCCACACACACAAGGTGAATTGGCATGGCAGGCTGGATTCAGCCTGTGGGCCATAGCTTGAGGACCCATGGCCTAAAATATCAAACCTGGCACCTGTTATATATTGGAAAACCATTTCTAATTCATATTACATTCTTTACTGTTAGAATCCAATTATATTACAGAATCCAGTTATAGTAACCAATTTATCTATTGTTAATACCTTACTGTTTAAATGGATAGTTTCTGATTTTCTGTTTCAGCAGTGACCTCAGAACTGGAGAGTGCAAAGGGGTGATTGAGTTGAGTAGAGAAGGGGGGAAGAAAGGAAAGAGACATGGATCAGTGGGATTGGCAAGTCTTTCTTATGACCCATTCCTTTGAAGAGAGGTCTGCTAGATGGACTTAACCCTAAGTCTTAGAGGCTTAACCCTAACTGGGAGGCCAGGAGACTGCAAACATTGCCTACCTTTTCCTGCCTGCCTTTCATGGGCAGGGCATTTACAGGATGGGGCCCTCTGTCCACAGACAGCATGAAGCACAGGACCGTGTTCATAACATTATATCACTCTTTTAACAACGACAGCCACCATTTTCATTGGCATAATGATGTTACTCTTTTATTTTATGTCATGTGTGAATGCATGTTCTCCATGAATGAAAATGCGGCCTTGAAACCTTTGAATCTGACAACTCCATAGCACACCATCTCTGAGGTTTGATCATGCTAGGTAGTTGTGTATGACGGTAAGTAAACGGCACATCTAGTTGGCAACTTAACACCATCTACATGGCATGTGTTTTGTATCCATTGTGTCATCTCGCTGCTTTCTGTTTTCAGTGCCTTCAAGTACGTAGTAAAGCAGGGTGCTCTGTGGATCCCACTTAGAAGCTGCTGGATTTTTTAAAAAATCTGTTCTGGTGCCCTTTTACAGATTGGAAGCAGCAAAGGATGATTATCGAATACGTTGTGAAGAGCTAGAAAAGGAGATTGCAGAACTGCGGCAACAGAATGAAGAACTGACAAATCTAGCTGAAGAAGCTCAATCTCTGAAGGATGAAATGGATGTACTTAGGTAAACCTGATGGCAAGGCCTAATTTGGCCCGTGACCACCTACTCTTGCTCTACATAAATTAAAATGCATCTTACTGAAGTATGTGCAACTCCTCTTCCTCCAGGCATTCTTCTGACAAAGTAGCCAAGTTAGAAAGCCAGGTGGAATCATACAAAAAGAAGCTGGAGGATCTAGGAGATCTGCGAAGGCAGGTGAAGCTTTTGGAGGAGAAGAATACAATGTATATGCAAAACACTGTAAGCTTAGAAGAGGAACTGAGGAAAGCCAATGCAGCCCGCAGTCAGCTGGAAACATACAAGAGACAGGTGAGAAGAGAGAGAAATTGCAGCTGATGAACTATTTCTTGCTTCCATATCTCTTATGCAGGTTCTTCAATTCCACAGCCAAGCAAATGGCCAGAAAATTGCTCTTCTCTAGACTATTTACTAAATATACACAAAACACTTTCCTAAGCCCATTCAGTGAATGATAAGATCCTCATGGTATAATGCAAAAAGAGTAGCATCAGGGGTGCACAGATTTAGACTGCCATAGCCATAAAACTCACTGGGTGACTTTAGGCTGTGAGTCTGAGTGTCCTTGCTTACCATGCAGCATAGTTATGAGAATTAAATGGAGAACTTTGTGTGCTGGTTTGAATTTCTTGGATGAATGTTTGGCTTAAAAGATAAATAAACTAAGAGTATTACATATTAACACAGCTACAAAAACTATAACCTAAACTGGTTGAAAATACTTATCAATTTTGACAGAATAAATGGTTAGATTTTATTTTCTTTGTATTATGTGGATCATTATATAAAGCTGGTTTGGCTCCATCTAAGAGAGGTTAGAAAGTTCGTTGTGAGTTTTTGTAACAGTTTATTTCATGAGCGTTGCATTTGTTAAACTGTCCCTCTGAAGCAACTCTATAGCACAGGTCTGATGAATGCTATAATTTTGAATTAATTTTCTGTGACCATTATTGTTAATGATTTTTGTTGGAAATTGTTTCCTGTTAAGAGACAGTGCCTTCTTGCATAAATCCATTAAACTGCCAGTATTTATTAGGTCTTCCTGGCACTGTTTTAATAACTATTTTATCTAATCCCCAGTATTCCTCTCCAGTATTCAGTAATGGGGAAACTGAATGGAGTAAATGTTTGTTGCACAAGTGTCCTTGCAAGCCCAATTATAACTCACATGTATTTAAAAAAAAATGGGGAAGAAGTTAAGAAGGGACATGCCAAACACAGTTTAAAGAAATGGAACTATCTTCATAAAAGCTTCCCAAGTACTTTTTTTTTTTTTTAACATACAGGCATATTCTTCACTGTCGGATCTACCATCTGATTTTTTTTCTCCATGTTTTGAGGAAATAACACCTCTGTCTTATGTATCTGTTAGGGTTGAACAAACATTGCATTTTATTATTAAAAGTCAGGTGAAAAGTCTAAAGCCAGTTAAAGAGAACTAATGAGTGAATTGAGATGAAACTGTGTCCGTGCAGCTTGTGTTTGGAGAACAGGTTGCAACATTTTAGTATCAAGCTGCAGTTCTTAGATTACATCTTGGCATAATTCTGAAGGAACATTACCTGGATACTGATATTCATTCCATTAATATTAACTTCTCTATATCTGTTGGTATCTGGTGAAACAACAGATTGAGTAGTACATGCATTTTATCTCATCTTAGTAATTTAATGGAGTAGAATATAGCTATATCAAGTGCTTACATGACCATTGGATGAAAATAAGCGATTGGTACTATTCCCTCATCAAAGATATATGGCTTTTTCTGTGAGATGCACATTACTCTGAGACCCTTGATTGCCTATTACTATCAACATGATTCTATCATAATTTAGATAGTATAACAGGTGACTATTTAAGTTTTAATATAGGTCTTCCAGATAGAAGCACTATCTGCATTCTGACAAAATAATGACACTTCTGTCTCGTGCATTCCTCTTTTTATTTCCACTTTAGATTAACCAAAGTTGAGTGCTGTGTCTGAATCAAGACCAATACTGGTTGGCCCTTAATTGTGGTTAGTTGAAATAAGCCAGGTTCAAATCATGGGTTGTGAAGCTGTTTCCTTTCATCTAACCATAGTTAAGGTGAACCCCAATATAGAGTTTGTAACACTGAACTTTGACTAAATAAAATCAGAAGTGAAAGCTTCTGATATCCTCAAAATTGTGCCAAAGGAATAAAAGGGAAAGGGGGGCAATAAACATGTCCAAGGCTTATCTAAGCTCATTCTCTTAATGATAAACTTGTTTATCATTCTGTCCAAATGTGCCTTTGGGCTCTGTTAAGATTAATACCTTTTGTTCTAATGCTGGTGACTGGTGATCCCTTCTTGCTCTTACAGGTAGTTGAGCTACAGAATAGATTATCTGAAGAATCCAAGAAAGCAGACAAGTTAGAATTTGAGTACAAGATGCTGAAAGAAAAAGTAGACAGTCTGCAGAAAGAAAAAGATGTACGTATTTAAATGTTTGTTTTCCATCCTTACTGGAAGTGTCTTTATACCAACTCATAAGAGTTGGTAACTAATGTCCTCTCCTTAAATTTTGGATGAATGTCTTTATCCTGTTATGCCTATGAAATGTAGTAAGTTGCCTTAGTGTTTTCAGGGGCCTTTTCCAAGCTCTGCTCTTGTTTACCTGCTTTGCACATCGTTGTTATTCGCACTGCCTGCCTTGGCTTCCTCTCCCACCTGAGATTTTTATGGTGTAGATTTTCATTTGAGTATGTCTTCTCTTAACTGTTCTTTGTCTGTTCTGTGTAGGTCTTTGTGCTCCTGTCTCCCACTGCTTCTATACAGTATTCACTGTTTCATCTGTCAGTTCACATGTAATGCCAATCCCTGGTTTGCCCATGGCCAAACCTTGGGCTTGCGATGCTCTTTTCTCACATGTACAACTTTGTGATTTGCTGGTTTGGGGCCAGAATAGCAGAGTGGTTGGAGGGGGGGGGGCAGTACTAACCATAGTTCAAGTGTAGCGGCAAACTTTGGTTTGCTATAAACCAAAAAGGCATTCACTAAGCGAAGCAGGGAGAGGTGAGGAGGAGGGGAGTATGCCGACACAGTGCTTTATTTTTCAATGCCTGATTTTTCATCTTCCATGTGGTCTCTATAAATTTCTATTTGACACCTACTGGATGTGGTGTTCCTCACCTTAAATTTTACACAGTGCAGATTGACATGTTCGCTTGCCCACCTGTATTCTTCCTTCTTTTCCATCACTGTTTGTGATGCATTTGTCCTCCTTGTTTTCCTGCCCCTTCACTTTGGCTTCATGTGGGATTTCTTCCCTGTTTTTTGACACACGTGCAGCCCGTCTCTCAATCTGTCACAGTCTCCCCAAGGCTGGTATGCATTCCTGGAGTCTTGCTCTCCTGTTAAAATGCCAACATTGTCTTTCCTCCTGCTCCCGATGGCAGCATATAAAATGGTACATAAGAGAACTTTCCCAACTTAGACAGGAAGGCAATTACTGCATTACCTAGGAGGTATAGGATCAGGGAATTTTTGTCTGTGTGCTGCATCACCATCTTGCTCCTAGACCTTACTCCCCTTTGAGTTTTGCTCTTTGTTCGGATCTTTTGCTCTGCAAAGCATTTTCCCCACTACTGGCTGCCATTCTTTCCACTTCAGCACATCATGTCTTTTCTCTGCTATTGACTATCCTGTCGTTGGCTACTGTTTCCTTCTGAGGCACTTCTTTCCAAGAAAAACTGCTCTGTAGCAGAGTGTTTGTTTCATCTGTCTGATATCATCTTCTCTGTGCTTGGCTTGTTCTGTATTTAGTAGCACCAGATCAAAACCTTACCTTGGTTCTCCTTAATCTTTGCTGCTACTTAGAAACTAAGCTACATGTAAAACACTCCTCCACAGGCTTACTTTTTTTTCTCCATATGTTTTTTCTGTGCCCACCATTAGAACAGGGGGTCCAAGTGGGCTGTTTCTCAACCTACATGTCATTCACACATTAAATATTGTGTTTTCATGTTGAAATCAAAAAATGAAAGCAATAGATATCAGATTTCATAAAAGGGACTGTCTACATTCAGGGATGCAGATAGTGCAGTGGTTTAAACTGCTGTGCTGCCGGGCTGGTTGATCAAAAGGTTGTGGGTTTGAATTTGCACAACGGGATTGAGTTCCCATTGCTCCGTCCCAGCTCCTGCCAACCTTGCAGTTCGAAAGCATGCAAATGCAAGTAGATGAAAAGGTACCACTTTGGTGGGCAGGTAACAGTGTTCTGTGCACTTTGGTGTTTAGTCATGCCGGCCACATGACCACGGAGACTGCCTCCTGACAAATGATGGCTCCCTCAGCTAGGAAACGGAGATGAGCACCACCCCCTAGGGTCGGACATGACAGGACTTAACGTCAAGGGGAAACCTTTACCTTTACCTTTTTACCTTTACATTCACACGTTCTTAGGGACAGGAAGCACTTTGTGAAACACTATAGCTGAAAATGGCAGTCCCTTGTTAAGTCTTCCTCTCACTTCAGAAATGTCCTACTTTTACTCTCTGTACTAACATACTTAAGATATGCAATTTTCTGCCTTACTCGTCTTCATAGGTTAACAGGAGGCAAAGAAATACACATCAAAATGATGTTAGGATATGGCATTTTTAAAAGGTTTAATTATTATTTTGCACTTCATATATACTAGGTACCAATGCATAGTCTTAGTTTTTCTGCTCATTGAAGGTGCTTCTACGTGACTTGGGCATTCCCTGTGCTTCTTTGACAACAGTCCTCCCCCCGCCCCCAGGACATTCATCTGTCTCATTTTCAGGGTGCAGGAGGGCATGCAAGTCTGTTTCTACCAGCATGGATTCTACTGTGTTTCAAAAATAGTAACATTAGACTTTTCCCCAGTCATATTACCACGTAGTTTCTCCTATATCTGCAATCAAGCAACTTAGATAACCCTTTGAATCTCAGAGTCAATTATTACCTCAAATGGTGTAAAAATCCTGGTTATATCTGCTCCAGGGTACGTTAAGGTGGTTGTTATGGAGGAAGGCCCAAAAAGATTTTGCACATTTTGGTAATAATAGCCTCTCATCAGCACAACATGCAGTGTCCATCCTATGCAAAACAGGATTAGAGTAGATGAGAAATCTTGGACTAGGGGGCAATGTGACTAAAAGCATTCAATTACTTTTCCCCAAATGTCACAGAGCATCCAGTGGGAGGAAGTTTTAATTTCTTTACTTATATTATGTGGGTATGTCAAGCTCTAAACTGCCAGTCACCCAGGAATTGATGTAGGCCTAATACTCTGTTAATGCCTTACTGCTTTAAAGCATTGAGTCAGAATGCCATGATCCCCCACAGAAGTGAGTTTTTTTTCTTCTTCAGGGCATCGCATTGCCTGCTAAACCTCCAGTTAGTACAAGGAAAAGTGGTATGTAAGTGGCACTGTCATTCTCATCTGCTGTTCATCGCATTGCATTATGCCAACAGGTTGACGTTCCAGAAGCCTACCTTTGATATATATTGCACAATAAGCAGTTCAGGCGGTATCTTGACTTGCTGCATCATGAATTGACTCATGGATTTAAGTCCAAATCTCTGTATTTTTCCCTTTATGCAGAGGCTAAGGACAGAGAGAGATTCCCTAAAAGAAACGATTGAAGAGATTCGATGTGTACAAGCACAGGAGGGGCAGCTTACTACTTCAGGTAAAGAAATTGAATATCGATTATGGGATTTTTTTCGGAATAGCCCTGTAGCAAGGCTCAGGAATGCAGTATGTGAAAGGCAAGCTCTGCTATTTCAAGAAAGTGACTGGTACAGCTTCACAGGAGCAGATTTTAATGTGGCCCAAAGCAGTGGCTGTTCCTTGAAAAGTCTCCTTTGCTTATGGACCTAGGGTGTGTGACTGGATTCCTATGGAAGAACATTATCAAGAAACTGGGTTAGTTTATTTGGAGGGTTATCCCAGCAAATAGAAGGTTGACCGTCTAAACTTTTTCTCCTTCTTTCCTTAAAACAGGATTGTTGCCCCTGGGTGGTCAGGAATCTTCTGACAGTTTAGCAGCAGAAATTATTACACCTGAAATCAAGTAAGGCTAAACATACAACCCTCTGTATCTGCACATGCATTTAGGGATACTTTCCAGTAATGTTTCATTAGTAAGATGAACGGCTGTTAATGGTCCAAGTTGTTCAGTTTGATGGGAGCAATCATATGGTCTCTAGGTGCTTTGGATTCTTAGATAATAAATTTCTGCATGCAATTTTTTCCCCGTACATTCCTAAAAATGACAAAGCCACATCTCAGAATTAAATTTTTCTTTGGTATTCACCTTCAAGTTTGCTTTGACACAGGAACTGCCATGATCATAGCGCAAACTTGCAAGGCTGTTGTTTGGGAGAGAAAATCATTGTTAGACTATTGAGATATATTAGACCACTTCATAGTCATAGCAATGCTTCTGAATTTCATAATTAGACAATTTGTTGACTGAAACTTGTCTGTTCAGAATGCTTGCTTTTGTAGTGTGCCTGGAACGCTGCATTACAAATTTGCTGTTAGAAATTTGGAACTGCTGCAAGCTTTGGAGCAGATGCATTCTGCATCTAAACAATGCCTTTTCTGTGTATGCTCTGAGTTGGTCTGAGCCGTGAGTGGTCTGGCGGGTTTGCCACTTCCTCCCTCATTGCCACTGCTGCTGTGGTTCTGTGAGTGGGAGATCTCACAGAGCAACAGGTCTATCTTCTTTCATCTATACCAGCCTTCCCCAACCTGGTTGCCTTCAGGGGCATTTGGACCGCAGCTCCCAGAATTCCCATCCAGCAGGGCCATTGACTGGGAATTCTGGGTATTGTGGTCCAAACGTGTCTGGAAGGCACAAGTTTGGGGAAGGCTGCTCTATACAATACCTTGGAGAAGTGTTCGCACACACGAACACACCCACTGACTCTTCCAGACTTTGCTGTAGAAATTGAAATGGATTTAATTGGCATTGCTGCTACTTGATATGTAAGATCCTCAGTACTGTGACGGTGCAAAATATTTCTATTGTGGCACAAAAGTCAAAGTAAACAAATACAAACTGGCACTTGCAGGTTTCAAAAGTATTGGCACCTAAGTCAATGCTGAGGAAAAGCATCTCTGGCACAGTGATTACAGCTGTGAGTTTTCTTGGTTAAGTCTCTGTCAGCTTTCCACATCTGGATCCTGCAGTTTTTGCCCATTCTTCCTGCTCCAGATCTGGATTGGACCATTGGTGACAGCAATGTTCAGCTCTTGCCACAAATTTTCAGTTAGAGTGAAGCCTGAACTTGACTGGGCCATTCTAAGGTGCTCGGGGGTTGCATTTAAAAGCTTTCCAGTTTTACTTATCCTCAAACCTGACCAGACCCTGCTGAGGAAAAGCAGCCCACAACATGATGCTACCACCCATGCCTCACCATCCCAAGGGTTGCCGTTGTGCCGCATGTAGCATTTTCCAGCAAGGCCAAGAAAACCTTTTACCACATGTTTCTTGTGTCTCCCGTGTGCCTTTTTTGAAAACTCCATATGGGCTTCCATATGGGTTTGTTTCAGCAACAGGCTGCTTTTGACCTCTCTTCCCTAAAGCTCACTTTGTGGTGCACTGGGGTGATAGTTGTCCATGGACAATTTCTCCCATCCCCACTCTGGATCTCTCTGGCTCCATTGCAACTGGCCTCTTGGTTGCTTCTCTAAGTAATGCCCCCCTTACCCTCTCACGGAGTTTGGTGGGCGGGCTTCTCTAGACAGACTGGTGATTGATCCAGATTCTTTCCATTTTGTAATAATCCATTTAATGGTACCCCAGGGGGTGTTCATAGTGCCACCTGGGGCTTCTACACAGCTTCACCCTGGAATCATTCTGATAGCTGCTAGGTTTTCATAAAGCTCTTTGTTTAGACATGTTCACCCACATTCTAGAAACAGGGGCATTTAATTTGAGATCATATCGCACTGGAATACTAGACTCTACTTGACTGGTGGATAGGTAGAGATTCGACTGAACTGCTCATTTGAAGGGTTGCCCCAGTGCTGGTCTAAGGCATGTCATAGCAAAGCAGCAAATATTTAAGTAAAAAATGGGGAGCAGGTTGCTTTTATTTGACATAACTTGTGCCACAATAAAAATACTTTCAAATGTATTTAAAAATACATTTAAAATACATTTAAAAATACCCTAAAAATGCACCTTCACAATATTGAGTATCTTGTGTACATGAAGTGATGAGAATGCCAGTGTTGATTCCAGCTTGTAGCCCAACAAAATGTACAAAAGTCGAAGTGGTGGTGAATACTTCTGCAAGACACTGCATACTGGCAGTGGACCACTAAGTATCAAAAGATACAATCAGGCTGGAAGGCCATATGGAAACAGCCAGTCAGGAAAGGGCACATAATGGGACACATGATGTCATGTCTGACCGTGCGATTCCAAACTGAGCAAGATATTGTATTGCAAACAAACTCTCATCTGAACTGACAGAGACAGATTAATTAATTACCGAGTAAATGACAAATCCCTCACGAAAGTCTCCTATCACTAATTATTTATTATGAGCCTAGTATTTCACTCAACCAGTTTGGGATTTCTGTTTTGCTTTCTCTTCTAATTAATTTCACAGGGTTTCCTGATAGCCCAATGAGAATTGCCAAATTGGTGTTAAGCTTTGTTTTGTCTTTCCCTTTATGGGAGCAATGTACCCCACTACTACTTGTGTTCAGCTGTGATTTTAAACTATGAAAGGGAAATCTATTTGAAACCTAGTTTTTATCTTAAACTGGAGTCTGTATGAAATCATCTTTATTTTCATCTTGGACTTTATAGGGGACCACTGGTTCCCAATAGTGGGTTAATACTGTGAAAACAAATTGTGTAGGAGGGTTATCACACTATTCAGTTTCTGCTATTGGGCAAAATAGAACTATAATTAATAATGATACATTTTCTTGGTGGTAGTATTGATCTATTTTTCATGATGTGAGATATATAAATATTGATAAAATATCAATACCTATCTATGACTGATATTTTGTAATGGCTTTCATCTTATTTCTCAAGGGAAAAACTCATTCGTCTCCAACATGAAAACAAGATGCTAAAACTTAATCAGGAAGGGTCTGATAATGAAAAGATTGCCTTGTTGCAGAGCCTCTTGGACGACGCTAATCTCAGAAAGAATGAACTGGAGACAGAAAATAGGTAAACAAGTACAGTACCTCTTTTACATATACTCGTTCATCTTGTCGTCTCTGCATTCACGGAAGTAATAACCACCCTCCTCCTGCTGAAGTTTTAATCTGGGGCTCAAAAAAGCCTTCCAACCATAAGCCTTATCTCCTCGTGTTCCAGTGGAACGAAAGAGAAGGCCTTGTCCGTTGCCACCCCCATGCATCCAGAGAGGTGTCTCTTGCCCCCTGCTCTTTAGCCTCCAGCAGTATTCATCCTTAGCTGGATTTGGGTGGCATGCTGCATTTCATGCTGTGGATAGTCTGATACAGAACATGTTGCAGTGCCCCAGGGTCCCACTTTGCATAGCCAACTTTGGGGGTAGTTACGTCATGTGAACCCAGTGAGCACAATCCTGAAGCATACTGTGAATTGTGCAAGGGCTGAATGCTCACATAAGAACTACGCTTGCCAGGCTTGTGACACTGCCCTCCAACCAAAGGTTATGTGTTCAAAATACATGCCACACATGAGCCTCAGCTTCCTTGTGGGTGAAATTGACCCTTCTGGGTTCTTGTGTCTTATGAACAGTCCCTCTGTCTCTGCTGCTTTTACTGGTGCTGTTTTTAACTTTTTATTTGCTTTCTGGCTGTGTGTGTTTTTTTATTTTCTTGGGCCAGTTGTATCTAATTTAGGAGCTCAATTAATTGTCAGTGTCACATAATAGGAATTTTGTATAAGAATGAACATTACATTAAAATAAGACTCAAAAGTAAATTTTATTTCTTATTTCTAGACTTGTAAATCAGAGGTTGCTTGAAGTACAATCCCAGGTTGAAGAATTGCAGAAATCTTTACAGGAACAAGGCTCAAAAGCTGAGGATGTAAGTAGAAATACGCCAGAGATACATGCAAACTGTGCTAAATATTCTAAAGCCTGCTATCCCAATACCAACTACATTAAATGTTCTGCCAGTCTTCTCTACCTTTGTAAAAATGAAACTCAGTCCTTAGTTTCATTTACTTTTAGAGATGAGCCAAGCTTTCTTCTCCATCCCCTGGTACAAGCTGACTTTCCCCAAAGGAATGTTGCTGGCCAGAGAAGGGCAAGAATCGTGCCATCGGGTCTCCAACTTGTCATAAGTGGCACCCACAGGACCAGATTAGCAGCTGGGCTGCCAGGTGGCATACAGCTGGTGTTACCCCAAGCGCTACCACCTGTGAACCCCAATGTAGTTGCAGAGCCACACGTGCCAAAATGATGCCTTCTGGAAACCTAGTAATTTATTTGGTGCAAAGGTTTGTTCTTTGGCATGTAAGGATGAATGTGTCTTGTGCAACCTATCTATGAGTTGCGCATATTCCTTGAAATACCTCACCCTGCCACACTGGCTAACTTGGTAGGATTGCTGTCATTTCCATAGCATGAGCTATGCAGTGGAATTCCCACACAAACCACCAGAAAAAAAGTTGGCAGTGTGAGCTCTGAAAGCCTCAATCCAATCCACTTAGATGGAGGAAGAAGGGAGAGGGTTCACTTAAGACTCCCTCTTCCTGTCCTAAAATGGTAACTGGTGATATTAGAACAAATAGAGCTGGTCAGCTATTTGGTTTTTTCACTGTGCAGGATAACACAAAGGTGATAAAGAGCCAAATTATCTTTTTTGACTTGGAAATAATGTGGAAATCTTCTTAGATGCATACATTGTACAATCAACTGTTGTTGTTGCCATAATTTAAAGCCTGCTAGTCTGTAATTTATGGTGTAAATAACCAAGATAAAATAGATTGCATTTTGTTGGTCTGTATCATTGTTAAGTGTATGTGGCCAGTAACCCATGTACCTACTTTTGATTACTTGTACATATTATTTTATCCAAAGCTCCTGCTCCCTGCAGGAAACAGTGCAAATGTCATGGAATCAGCTTACAATGACAGCAGCCAATCACTTCTGAAATTCTAGGACGAGTGCGTGCGCTAAAAGTGTCTTGTTTATGCTCTATGTTTTTAGTGAGAACTCTCATGTACTTGAAATGCATTTGTGATAGCTTTTCAGAGCTCTCTAGAGGATGAGACTGGATGAAGACACTCTAGAAAGCACAGAAAGAGAAGAAAATGTGCATGCTTTGTGAGAATGCCTTGCTTTAAATGTGTTTCCTTCAGAAAGATACTAAATAGTTTCTCCTGTTGGCTGCTGTTTGCTTCGTACTAATCTGTCGCCTCTGTCTCTTGGCATGGGTTTCTGCTCAAGGCTATTGTGAGTATGGCTTCCTATTTACTTCATCCTGCTCTGAATCATTTGTGCTTTCTGATTTTTTAAAGAAAATATTTAAATGGATAAAGTTTTAGTTCTTATCCATGTTACATTTTCGTGTGCTGTGTAATGTTTGTGTGTTGCTTACCTAAAGCTTGGGGTGCTCAGGTGCCAAATAGTTTTGTGCGTACTGTCATTGTGGCAAGGTTTCAGGCAAGTTTTTTGCATGACCCATAGAAGCAGGTGAAGTAACTTTCAAGTATTGCAAAGAACCACAATTTTAATTACTGTGATTTCAGTGTATAACCTTTAGTTAATGACCTTGTAGCTTTCTTCTTTCATAAAATCATTCTGACGTCTTCAGCCGTAACTCATTAGGTGGTCCCACAAGTTGCTCCTATCATGACAAAAATTATATTATGGGCTTTCAACTCATGTTTGTTTGCAAGTTGAGATGACTTAATATGTTACCAAATTGCTAAATACAATTGGTAGTTCTGTATAGGAACTGGCACGAAATCAGTGTTCATATAGCCATGCATGACACAGCCCCATGTTCAGGATTTTTTCTGTGGGTTCACATTGTGAGGCAGGGCGGTGGGGTTCCTTGTGTGTGAACCCTGCATATGGTAGCACGCAGGTTAATTTTACACACTGTTCTCTTGTGGGAATTTTGTAATGTGTAAAGCATACCTTGGGCATGAAGTAGCATACCTTACATGTGGGTGCAGTTTAGGAACATAAAAATGGCCATGCTTGGTCAAGTCAGTGGAATTCTATGATTTGCTCCTCCCACTGTGCCTTGACTGTAATAGTTGGGACGCTTATCTGCACAGAATCACCTTCTCTATACATGGATGCTACGTTCTTCAGTACTGTGGCAATATTGCCTCCCTAGTTTTGTCTGATTCTGGCGCATCATTTATGGTGATAGCTATATGTCAATTGACAAAACAGTTGACAGAGTACAGCAGTGTGATCAGCTGTTTGTTACGTAGCCTGCTCCAGGGCAGTTGTGGTCTGGCTCATGTAACAGGCTCTGCTTCCACCTGAGCTGGTCCCCATGGGGACCAAAATATGGCTGCAATTGTAGCAGCTGCCAGCCAGGGCTGAAGAGGCCATTCCTTGCCCTGCGGCCATGCTCCTGGCTAGAGGAGAGCAGTGTGACCCTCTGATGGCAGAGCAGAAAGCAGCCTCCTGATTCCTGGGCCAGTACCCAGTGGGGCCACTGCACTCCCACCAATATGGTTGCAGAAGCACAGCTTAGCACACCATCAAACAAGCCTCCACATGAGCAGGAATGCCCATTTCCAGATGAGGACGCATTGGCAGAGCTTAGTTACACAAGCCCTCTTGACCTGTCCCATTCCAAAAATGAGCATTTCTGCTTATTTCTGGCTCCAGTTTGAAGTATGTAATCGCTTTGGTGCAAATGTTGGGCCCTGCTGGTGCTTGGGCAGTGCTGAATACTGCCCCGGTTACTTTGGATGCATCTCCCATTCATTCTCTCTAGCATAACCAGTGATGAGGGGGCTTGTAGCCTTAGGAACCAAAGCTGCCCTCCCCCGTTGTCCTGCCAGGAGGACATAGAGGCAGACAGCATAGCACTGGTAGAACCCTGTCTGTATGAAGCAGGCTTGACTTGAATTTCTTTACTATCCTAAGAACTGTTTATACAGTGGTACCTCAGCTCATGAACGCCTTGGTTCACGAACAAATCGGGTCACGAACAAAAATTTCTGAAAAAATTTGACCTGGGTTGCAAGTACCGCTTTGGGTGGTGACCAAGACCGCACCCCTCTCCCCCCCTCCCCCGTGGGGAGATGGCTACGATCGCAGTTGCTTTCGTGCAAGGAAGGCATGCGTGATCAGAGGTGCACTGCTGCAGGAAAGATGGGAGCAGCAAAGCAGAGCCGTGGGGGAGATGGCCGAGATTCTGCCTGTCTTTCCTGCAGGAGCGCGCCTCTGATCAGGCACGCCTTCCCTGCACGAACGGAACTGCGATCGCGACCATCTTCCCACCCCCAGCGCACCGTTTGCGCCTGTCTCTCCCTCCCACCCCCCAGCGTGCTGTGATGATAGGCGCCTGCAGGGATGACAGGTGCGATCTCGGTTGTGCTGCGGGGGCAGGGAGATGGCCGTGCTTGTGCTTGGGGTGGGTGGGGGGAGATGGCCCCGATCTTGTTGTTGTCACTTCGCTTCACATTTTTGTGATTTAAAAAATGGTTACAGAGCAGATTAACCTTATTTACATCGAACCTTATGGGGAAATTTAACTTGGCTCATGACCAATTTGGGTCACGACCAGACTTCTGGAATGGATTAAGTTTGTGAGCCAAGGTACCACTGTACATGAGACAAAAAATGCAGTAGTGTATAACTATATGAAAGTTTTGAGAAGTAGGTAAAAAAATTATCCTGCATGCACACACACATATATGCAAAAGACCACAACAATCCCCAGTGACTGCTTTTATTAGAGGGAGAGCTTAATTCTTTCCAGCTCTGCCTCCCCCTCCCCGGCTCCTGGCCAGGTGAGAGCCAGATGAATACCTATCTTTGCAGGCATCAAGTCTGGAACATCAGAGGAGGAAAGCAGCTGAAGGGGCAGCTAGCTGAAGGAAAGAAAATTAGAAAGACTGAGCAGTCCATTTTCTTCCTCTCCACTCCCTAACCAAATTATTGAAGTCATTGTTGTTGTTATTATATTGCATTTATATCTCACCTTTTTTGCCTGTTGTGAGAAACCCAGTATGACTTATGTACCTCCATTTTATCACCCCTCGAAAGCGATCCCTGAGGTTTTATTACACACCTTTATGTGAAACTTTGTTCTATCCTCAGTCTTCAGTTTATAATCCAGTGAATGCTACAAATAACTTTTTTTTCATTTTTAGTCAGTCATTCTGAAAAAGAAGCTTGATGAACACCTGTAAGTATTAACAGCTTTCCTTCTATTTTTATAATAACAAAAAAAAACCTTTATTACATGGAGAAGAGTACATGAACTGAAGTTGTTAATATAGTCCTAATATATTGAGGAAGCCTAAAAATAATTTGAACATTTAAAAGCCATTCTAATACCTCACCCTATATATTTTTACTGAAAAAGTGTGTTTGTTTGTTTTATTAAACCACCCAATAATGAACTTTAAAAGAATAATGTGCAATACAAAAGACTAAAATACAGACAGGCCAATCAGTTCTGAGACCTTTATTTTCTGGTTATGTATCTTTGGACTGAATTCTTGGCTTAATGACTTTCTCCTAGAGGGATCAGATATAATGTATGTTTTTAATATTTGTGTAGTGTTTTATCCCTTTTGATCATAGGGAAGTGCACACAATATTAATGTTCTGCTCCTGGATAATCAGCAATACCTTTAACAAGGCACCACCTGAAGGGGGCAGCTAATCTACCCCACACAGGCCAGAGCAGAAGGGAGCAGATGGCCTTACCAGGCTTTTTAGTGCAGCAAAAATTATATGATTGTGATGTTCATTTTTCTCCTTGAGAATAAATGGGAAGGTGACATTAGTTGGTGTGAATGGGTGGCCTGGGGCCCCTCAGGAAGTGGAGAGGCTTTGGCTCCATCATATCCAAAACACTTCCAATCCCACCCTCAGAACCCACCACCTCATCAGCGGCATATTTCTGTCTGCAAAACACTGTGGACCAGTGAACCTCCTTGCTGCTTGACTGCCCCATCCTAATCTGCTCTAGTTAGTAGATCTGTGAGTTATGATGCTCATGTTAATTCCCCCCCCCCCCCCAAATAATTGGTTCTCTGTCATGAATGGCTGGGAGAATTAGCTTTTACTGGTGTTGCTCAAATTTCCTAGAACCGTAAAATCATATTTTTCCTCTATTTTGAACTAATGAAGACTAGTAAAGCAACAGTTCATCTTGTGGATTTAAACCTTTTTCCTGTTTACAGTGAAAAACTGCATGAAGCTAATAATGAGCTACAGAAGAAACGTGCTATCATTGAAGATTTAGAACCTCGATATAACAATAGTTGTGAGTATCATTCCATTTCTGGTTACAGAATATACTTGCAGCTGATTGTTATTGTAGTAATCTTAGAAAATATGTATTTCTTTCAAAAAAGTAAAGGAATGTCTTCAACACAGCTGTTAATTAAGGATTCAGCTTTTAGTTTAATTACTAGGTAGCATCTGACTATTTTACCTGAAATGCAAAAAGAACTTTTTAGATGCTGTGCTACCCAAATGGGAAGAGTATCATACATGCTACTATCATTCACTTCTAACCACCAGAAGAGGAAAACTATGCCATAATTAACCTCCATCTTACTACCAGTTCTCAGAATGCAAGGACCAGCTATCTGTAAATAATAACCTAGCTGGGATAATCAGATGTAGAAGAAATCCTTGGAGCAGAGCTCTAAACACTGAGTGGTCATTGCAGGCATGGTTTTGAATGTCTAATCTATGTTGGCAATCATGACCTTTCATAGTTAGCAGCATAGTTTACAAAAAGCATTGTCATTTCTGGAGCACAATAACCTACAAAAAGAACCCCCATATTTTATGCTATTGAGGCGTAACCAGTGGGATCAGCAAGATTTCATATATAAAGGAATATGGTTCAGTGTAACTTAATCCTTATTTAAGCACAATGGGAATGCTTTGGTGAAGGTGCTTGCAAGGCAGAAACTCTCTCCCACTGTTAAAATGTGGAATTTCCTTTAGGAAATGTTCTTGATAAGCCCAACATTTCAAACACACCTTCTGTGTATTGTGAATGTTTTGAAATATGGTCTTTTCTTTTAACAAAGCACTTAAAATAGAAGAATTGCAAGAAGCTTTGCGTAAAAAAGAAGAGGAAATGAAGCTAATGGAAGAACGATACAAAAAATACTTGGAAAAGGCTAAAAGTGTAAGTAGAGTTTTTTTGTCACGTTAGTGCTGAGAGTTGTCCTGCCTCTGCAACTTTACAAATGGACTGAGTAATAGTAAAATAATGTGGAGTCACAAATAATTAATGTTTGGACTGTGCACTTCAGTGGCCTCTTTGCATATTACATTGCTTTTGATGCCTCCAATTCCCAGTGAATTCAGAAGTGGGCCTTGGGCTTGCACCCTTTCCCATTCTCTTGCCTCCTTAAGAAGTGAGCTTTTGGACCATGGAATTGTGCACAGTTCAGCCTGCGGTATCCCATGACCATCAGTAGTGAAAGCCAAGTGTTCTCGGTATGCAGACCCAAGGGAGAACTTGTGTTAAAACAAGTCTGAAATCTCCAAGTTTGGTCCTTCACTTACATGTGTGGTAAGCAAAGGAAAGGGTGAATAGAGTGCAGCATGGAGTCAAGCCAACCTAAGACCAGTATGTTGCCATGGTTAGCATGCTGAACAGAAGATTTGGGAGTTGCAGGCTGCAATGCCCATTTAACCATGAAGTTCACTGCAGCCTTCATTTACACACTTACCTGGGCATGCATAAGATTGCACCATGGATAGCGAATCACCATCTCAGCCTAACATATCTAACAAAGTTGTTTCAGGGATATAATGAGACTGGGAGAAAAATCATGTATACCTTCTTAAGCTTCTTGGAGGAAGGCATGATATAAATGTAATAAATTAAAGCCCATTCCTGACTTTGCTGCATGTACAGGCTAACAGAGGAACCATACAAAAATGACCCAGTCTTAAACTGCCTCGGTAACAGAGGAAGTGACTTCTAAATAGCCAGTGCAGGGGACAAAGAAGGAATGACTGGCAATAAAGCAGTTCTTATGTAACTTTTCTCAAAGAAGATGTTCAAGTTCCTATCTTCCCTAGCTTAGCTAACTTACTCTCTAAATTCCTTTTCCTTTGGAAGGAAAGCATGGGCTGTTTCCTGCAACTATCCTCCATCATCTAAAGTTAGTGCTTGTGATAAAATGAAACTAGTGACAGGCCATGGAAGCATGTTTAAGGCTGCAAATCCATCCATAATCAGACACAGTTCCAGATGAAATTGATGAATTTCTGGATATGTTGTAGGCTTGCACAAACTTAAGCCAAACATCTTTGTAAGGATTCTGTAGCTCACTGGCAGATGCGTCTTCAGACTTCCATCAACCGCTTGAGGTGTTGGAGCCAGAGGAAAAGCAGGAAAAGCAGTATTGAACTAGGTAGACTTGGCAGAAGCAGCTTCCAGTGTTCTTTATTATAAGTCAGTGTGTGATTCTTGCCCCTTACAGGTTATCCGTACTTTAGATCCCAAACAGAATCAGGGCTCAGCACCTGAAATTCAGTCACTGAAGAATCAACTGCAAGAACGTGAAAGGATGTTTCATTCTTTAGAGGTAAAGAATTGCAGCTTGATCCTTTGCATGGTTGCTCAAAAATAATTCCACTGATTTTTAGATGGGGCTTACTCTCAGGGAAGTGTGCATACGATTGCAGCCTATTTGATAGCTCCATTCTGCTCTTATTCACTTACACATGCAATGCTGCTTAAGAAACTGTAGTATGCAATAATCAAAAACACTTATGTTTTTTCTTAATTAGAAAGAACATGAAAAAACAAAGAATCAAAGAGAAATGGAAGAGAAATATATTGTCAGTGCCTGGTACAATATGGTGAGTAGACATAAGCTCACAAAATAGGTCTACGAACAGAATTTAAAATGCTGCTTGAATTTGTAGCTTGCCTTTTTTGAACAAGGCAGTGTTCACACTGGAGGGTTTTAGCTGCAGCTTTCTTTGATGGCTAGTGATTTCTTAATAGTTAAGCATACAGGTAGTTCCCAGGTTAAGAATGACTTCTGTAGCATCCTTAAGTCAAATTTGTTTGCAAGTCAGATCACCAAAGCCAAATGTTTGTTTTAGTATATATATAGATTTTACCTTTTTGTGCATATAAAACACTTAAGAAACACTTCCATATTCTCTAAAGCATCTTAAACACAATACATCATTGTAGTAATGATAACAATACCGTAACAATAAAGTAACTACTGGTACTGAAGAAAGAGAGAATCTGTGTGTATGTGAGAAGGTGTACAGTATTGAACAAACTTGTCATAACTTATCTCTTATGCCTGGCTTAATGTATGCTTGAGCTTCATTGCCTGTCTATCTTTAATTTTAATATAAGTCCAATAGAAAATAACTTATCAGTCCCTTGCTATTTTCCGAAGTTCTCTGGTAATGGGGTGCTAGGGCAGTATAGTCCAGTGCTTGCTTATTACATTCGGAACACTTTCATCCATGGCAAATTATTCTCAGTGGGTCTGTGTACAGGAGCAGAGCTGAGCATTTCTTTGCTTATTTATGATTTTTGTATACTGTCTGACTACTACTGTTTCAGGATGGTCTTACAATAAAAACAGGATAAAAATGAAGCATAGCATCCAGTACTAAAATCATACGTTAAAAACCTAATCAACTTTTTAAATAATGGGTAAATAAGAAGGTTTTAGCCTGGTGCCAAAAAGAGTACAAAGTCGGTGTCAGGCAAGCCTTGCGGGGAAGCGCATTCCCTAACCAGGGTGCCACCACCGAGAAGGCCTTCGAGTAGCCACCCTCCTAATCTACTTCAGGGAGGGCTCCCAAAGAAGGACCTCTGCACCAAATCTTAAGGAGTGGGCAGGCACCTAGGAAGGAGATGCTTCTTCCAATATCCAGGCCCTAAGCCATTTAGGGCTTTATTGGTCATCACCAGGACCTTAAATTGGGTTCAGACTTTAAATGGTAGCTGGTGTTATTTGTGCATACCTGCCGGTCCCTGGCAGCTGTATTCTGAACCAATTGAAGTATCCGAATTCATCTTCAAGGGCAGCTCCACGTAGAGCACGTTACAATGGTCCAATCAGGAAGTTACCAGAGCATGGGTCACCATTGCTAGGCATTGTTCATCCAGGTAAGGATTCAGTTGATGGATCAACCATAGCTGAAGGAAAGTGCTGTTTGCCACAGCCGCCACCTGAAATGCTGTTTGCCTCTCCGCCACAGTTGGGGTCAAAGAGCACTCTCAAACCATGCACACTATCCTTTAGGGAGAGTGCAGTCCCATCCAGAAAAGGGCCGGCATCACTTACCCGAAAGGCTGAACTGCCTACCAATAGGACCTCCGTCCTGTCTGGACTGAGCCTCAGTGTGTTGGCCTTCATCCAGCCCATCACCCTGGCCAGGCAGTTAAGGACAGCCACTGCCTCGTTTGTTGACTTTTCAGTTCCAGTTGTTGATGGAGCACAAGGCTTATGCGGAAGAGGGATACATGTTCTGTCTGAGGTGTTGAAGAGCTCCTTGTAGAAGGTGAACCCTTTTGATCTAAGGAAATGGGCTTCTGTGGCTCTGTCTGGGAACTGCATGGCCACAAAGAGATGCATCACCAAATGCATTGCATAGTTCCCTAGAGTTAGCTGTGACTGTTTCTAGGGAAAAGTCATGAATATATCTAGTGAATCTCTGTCTTGAGAGAAAAGCTGTGACTACCTCTAGGGAACTATGTGGCCACTGATGACGCATTGCCAAACACATTGCATAGTTTCCTAGAGACAGTCATGGCTTTTTACTAGAGATATTCATATGAGCTTTGTGGCAGTCCATGTGCTCTTAATTATGGGTTGTTTGTAACCTGCAAGTTCATAACCTGGGGAGTACTTGTTTGTAGTTCCTTTTACCATCTTCAGCTCTTTAAGGGTGGGCTTCAGCTGAGTGGGGAGTTGTCATGTGACATATCTAGAGAGTACCAGACTGGGGAAGGCTGGTTTTGGGGACTTGGCCTTTGTGACCCTCCTGTCTTTCTAGGTTTAAATGTGTTTTCAGACACACCCAGGAAGCCTGGTTTCCTAGAAGTAATGCATTCCAAACCGGGCCACCAAGCTCCTGTCAAGATTTTGAAAAATCTTGCGGAGATGACAAGTGGCAGGTCATTTCTTAGAGCAAAGCTAACAAATGGATGTTTTAGAGGAATTGGCAGGTAACAAATAAGAAAAACGGTGAAGCTAGGTCAAGTGAAACAAATGTATTTAATCATTAAAAGTTGTCTACAATCATAACAAATGGTAGCACTGACTTGATAGGAGTATAGTTGTTACACCTGGAAGGAAAAAGCGCTTGTAATTTTAGAAATATGAGATAAAATCAAAACTTGCCACTTCTTAGCCAACGAAGACAGGCAAGACTGCACGGTTCTGCTGTGCACAAAAGGAAGAGCCTGGAATAGCTGTCTGGCTCGTGGTTTCGCACTTTCATAAAGTCTTAAACATCTGGAATGGTGAAAAGGCCTGCAATTTTTCATTTCAATTTTGAATCCATATTAATTCCGTATTTGGTAACTAAATGCTACATTCTATTTTCCTTTGGATTACTAATTGACTGCAGATTTGAGCTGAGCAGTGGCAATGCTACAGCTAGAGGAATTTTAAAATATATTTCCTCCCCAACCTCCATATCCAGACCTTTTCTTTTCAGTTTCATTTGGTTCTTTTTCTCTAGCCATTGTATTATAATTGTCCAATACAAAATCCACATAATGGCTGACCAGTTTTTGACCAACTAACAGGGCACAAAATCCAGTTTCATGAAAATCTTTAAAAAATTAAAAAACCTTTTAAAGAAAATGTTCATGGCCATGATATGAAATGTGCATGAAAGGAGTCTGCAGCTCATAAGTGCATGGCCGAGTCTGCAGCTCATAAGTAATGAGAAACCTCTGCAGATGAATTTCTCAACATAATTCTGTGCTTTCAGTGGCTGCTGCCATTTTAACTATCTGGAGCACAGTGGGGGCAGGGGAGATGTTGTTGCTTCTCTTTTCATAGGAAACTGGCAAGGGTGGATTGTTGGGGTGGCTTGTAAACCACCCAGAACCCATGAACTGTTTTAGGCTTCACAGTGGCTTGTCAGCCCCCAAACAACCCACCTTCACCAGGATTGCACGTAAAACGAATCTATGTGGCATTCCATGGACCCCAAATATAAAAATGGTGGCCACCACCGCAGAAAGAACCCCACAGGGAAATTTACCCACAGTGTCTTCTTGCTAGGAGTGGTCCAGGTCAGACAGAGTGAGAAAGCAGTTTACCACAAGGTTATGGTCTACTTAGTGGCAAAAAAAAGAGTGCAGCAGTTATATCAAATAATGCCGCTTCCAGTTGCATATGAAAATTGAGCTTTCCCCATCCCACCACTCTGCATATGAGTAGGACAAGTATGTACCTGAATGCACATAGCTGTCATGTCATGTCTAGCTTGTCTGTAGCAAGGGAAATGTTTGGTGAAATTCAAGTGGCTCTGTATATAGCAACATAGGAAAGCTGAAGTGGGAAGCACTTAAAAAGGATGTCACAGTGGTGCTCGTAATCAGGGTGCCATTGTAGAAATAAGGTTTCCGTTGTCATAGTTCCCGTAATTCAAGAAGCGCTGCTTTGCATCAGTCAAGCAGTGCACAGGAAAGGGAGAAGTGGGCCCAGCTGGGCCCCATGACGGCATTCATGTTTCCCCGGAGGTATTCATAGGGAAGCAAGAGGTAGTCCGTTGGTTGCCTTACACAGAGAGGCAGCCAGGTGAGTCTTGAGAATGAGTCCTTGCTGATGCCCTTGGAGAACCAATAGAGGACATGAATGTTTGTGTGGCTGTCATGGATAAAAATGCAAACTGCTTCCATTTTCCTCCCATCCCATTTATTAATGCATTACATGACCTTAAGCAAGCTACTCTCTCTCTCTTGTCTTCCGTGTCTCAAGCCACAATATGTATTTATTTGTGTACTAATATGTGTAATAATATTGACCTGCCTTACAGGAAAGCTTGTAAGGATGACTGAGGGAGTATATCTGCGGAGCTTTGATCTCTTGAAATGTATGAAATAAAATCTAAATTTGCCTGTGGTGAAAATTTGTGTCAGCTCCTTGGGGGAGCAAGTTGGCTCAGCCTGTTCAACAGACCGTGTTAACCAAACCTGATTGTCTTCTCATGCCTTTCTCTCCATAGGGGATGACTCTTCATAAAAAAGCAGCAGAAGACAGACTGGCTAGTACGGGTTCAGGACAGTCCTTCCTGGCTAGACAAAGGCAAGCCACCAGCGCAAGAAGAGCGTATCCCGGCCACGTCCAGCCAGCCACAGCAAGGTAGAAGCAGACCTTGCCTTGCCTTTTGAAGGGAAGCCATCCTGGGATCAAGACCGGCTTCTGCGACGAGCGACAGCATTTCAGGAAACTTAGCCAGCATCCTGTCTGCCTCCTTGTCCCTGCAGTCACCTTCTCGTTTCAGGAAGGTTAACAAACAAACAAAAAGTTTCTCAGTGTTTCGAACCCCTTCACTCTTACTTTCTGGAGTCTTCCTTTTGCCTTTTAATGTGCCAAAATGTTGGAAAGCACCTAGTGGAGCATTCCACCTAGTGGAATAAAGCAATCTCTCCTGCCCACCCGTTTATTTGGAATTGTCTTCTCCTGACTGAAGCCTGAAGATGGCCAGGTAGCAAACCCAATATGCCCTGTTGGTGAATGACATTGCCATCCTTTCCAAGGCTACAATTGTATAAAGGGAATATTCTCCTTTCCTTTTTTCCTTTCTGATCTGTTTAAAGTATGCAATGCAATTTTCAGATGCATTTCATATAGTTCCTGTGAAATGTATTAGTTGCAGGGGTCTAGATGCTGGCAAAAGCTGTAACGTAGTTGCAAGTGCCCAAGTTGATTTGTTCATAAATTTATCTGGTGCTGCTGTTACAACTTTTCTTGGCTTTCATTCAGAGGGGCAGGCTGGTTTTTGGCTTGCTCGCCCACATGCTTTTCCCCCCTTGACATCACCAGGGTTCGGTGACTTGAAGACCTTGCCACATTCATGGTTAGCACAGTTAATGTGGAAAGTAGCAACCATTTCCTGCATGGTCTTTGCTTTGCCATCCCCATCACACTCTAAACGAGTAGGGGATGGCCAGTCCATCCTTTTCCTTGCCATGTGCTCTTATTGCAGACTTCCAGTGGTTTGGAAGTCATAGGAAAGGAGGCCATAGTCATACTCTCTGACTTGACTGGATCCTACACATAAACCACCTGGGCAACACTGAAAAGTGATGAACCGTGTAGAGAATGATTGTCTCTTTTCCTCCTGGAGATACCAAATTGCTTTTGACTGAATGTCTTGTTGGTGCTGTCTTCAAATTGCCATCCACCCCTGAAGACTATTTGGACAGGTCAGTAAGGCTTTGTGAGCCCAATAATTGCCTTTCGGATGGTGATTAGTGCCTTCAGGCAAGGTGATTCAGGCCTGAGAACCTTCTATTCATTTGTGCCAAACCTTAATGCATGCCTATGCAGTTTATTGGTCTTGTCCCTTCAGGTTCTGACCCTGCCAGTATTGAACCCCAGATGTTAAGCCGCATACCCACTTTTCAAATAAACATTTGAGAAGTTGGGAATTGCTCAAAGTGATATTTTCATATGGATTCACTGTTAAGAATAGCTTGGAGGCTTTGTTGAAAAACTTCATATTTAAGATATTTTTTTAGTCTACCTGTCTTTCAGCAAAGGATTTCTTTTCTTTTAAATGCAGCTCTTGTTGACATTTTAAAAGTATTCCAAGGATTCTGCCTTTTAGGGGAGTGGGAAAAGTACCTGAGATGGTTTTCACTTGGAAGTGCATCTGGAGTTTATCATCATATTTGGATAACAAAACTGTAACTTTCACACACACTTTTTTTGCAAGAATGCACAGTACCTCTTCTTAATTAAAAAAGTAGTGGTTGTTTTTATTCACTACTACCCTAATATATAAAGGTAGCTTTTTAAGTCCAGCAATGTGAACAGTAATGATTAAAATGAAATGTGTTGCTGTTGGCGCTCTGTAGTATGGTTTCGTTGTTTGGTGACATAGGCCAGGTCTTACCAGTATGCAGCAAAATAAAGATAAGGTTAAGTCACTTAGTAAACTGGCATCTTTTCCTGCAACAGCAAATTTAGAGCAGGTGGCAGAGAAGTTCAAAGGTGTTTGTATGTGTTTTTCATATACAAAGCAAATGTATTAGATGGTTACCCTGTCATTTTCTGCTGCTTGGATTGATAATTAACGATTAGGCCATATGCAAAGGAGTTGTCAATCTGGAACAATCCTGTTTTATGGTAAAGCACACTGCACTTGCTGTTCTAGAGAATGGCTTGGTTCTAGCACTCTTAATTTTTTGCCAGACATGCCTCTGCTTGCAAACCAGAAGCAAAAACCTGAATCTGCCCGAGGGGAGAGTTTTTTATGCAGACTGTTGTGCTAATCTGATAAAGCTGTTCCCATTATTTAGTTCAGGAAGGGTACTTTGATGCAGACTTCCTAAAGGTTGGACCTACATATTTTTCAGTAGCATCTTTTTGTCTCCCTCCTCCCACTAAAAACGGCTTTCCTTTCTCTGTTGGTACTCTGAATTTGTCTACCTTCCATGACAATTTTCCTGTTTCTCATTTACAGTGAGAGCAGCTTGCTTCCCTGTTTTGATTGCCTTATATATTGGTTGCATTGTAATAGGCAAGGTTGTTATAAATCCCATTATTCTAAAATGTCAGGGATTCCTCACTTAAAGCATACATTTTTATGGGAATTGAACTTGCATTCTTGTGGATCTTAAGCACCATGGAAAGCAACCATGAAGAAGAAATTCACAGGCAGTTAGCTGCACTTAAATGCCATTGAAATCAGCCAGACATCAGTTGTGGCTAAATTAAGTGCCATTGATAGTATAGGGCTGCATCGCAACTTACTTGCTGCCAGGTGCAGGCTTCATAGCAAAGGCAGAGTAAAAAGCCTTCCTTTTGAAAGAGTGGTCTCTGTTGGAATGGAAGGGACCCATAAGCACTTCAAGCAAGTCCACAACTTGTAGAAAATTTTTCATGAAACTTTTCTGTGGCAGAACAGTGCTAGCACATGATTATTTGGAAAGCAGGAACGCGTTGGTCATGCCAAGAGACCCTGAGAAGCCACTCCCTGGCTTGTCCCTTACTTCCAACAGACTATCGCCTGCTCAGCAGCTTCCCATTTCTTGTTTCTCCCTTGGGTCCGCTTCTGGCATGTACCCAAGGGCCTTGTAGCAGAAGTCCTCATTTCCTCATTTCCTACAGAAGCACCCTTTCTGCAGCTGTTCCACTGTGCTTGCCTCCTCCCCTCAACAGTTCGCACACGGGAGATAATTTTCCAAGCCTTGTGAATGGAGGAAAGATTTCCTGCCCCAAGATTTCACTTCGGCTCGACTGCTCTGGCACAAATATTGTGTAATTGTGCCCCACCACCTGCCCCCCCGTTTGGGCAAAACCACTCTCAACGGGAAAACTTCTCTGGGTTTGAATGTCATGCAGCCACCCACATCAACCACCCACGGTGGCTAAGGGTGACATGCAGAGCCGGTCACTGTATTCTAACTATGGGATAAGCAGGATGGGCAAGTACAAAGAATACTATTATAGAATACAGAAATACTTACTTTTCCTAACTCAAACATTTAGTGGTGTGTGTTCTGGGCAATACTAGATGTGTCTAAATGTATGATTAACCAGCATAATGATCACAGTCAGTGTTGGGTCCTGGTCTTCAATGGCCTGGGTCATTTTCAGCTTCAAGACAGGTAGGGTCAAGTGCGTGTGCATTACTGCAGGCCAAGCTTCAGTTGCGTCTGCTTCAGCTTTTGTAGAATTGCATTGTCCCAAGCCTAGCATGTTATACCTTTAAAGTTAGGCAATGTTCTTTTTTATATTCCCAAATATTCCTTTCCCATTTGATTTCTTTTCTGTTTAAGATCTGATCTTAAACTTACCTATCTTAACTGTCAGTTGTATTTTTCCTATTTAATAAGGTCTTTGATCACTGAACTATCAGTTGAGATACTTATTATACAGTTGAAACTTGATATTGGAAACTGAAGGCAATATGGGCAATGTATAACAGATCATATAATGATTTTATAACTTGCTAGCACACCAAATGTATGAGGTTTCTGATTGTGTCGTCTGACTTGTCTCAACAGGGAGGTCAGACAGAGGACAGAATCTGTGCCTTGGCCCGATTCATGGGTTATGTTTTGTGTGGTGGTGAACGTCAGCGTGATGTGACTTCACGTGAGGTGACGCATGGCAGGAAAGTCTTGTGCGTGCTCCCACGTGTGGGCATGCGAAATCAGCAAGGGGAGGAAGAGAGGCGGTGCTCTGCCTGCCTCCTTTTAAAGCTAATTGACATCCAGGTAAATGTCTGATCCAGGCCCTGTATTCCTGTTTTCCTCCCTGCCTAGAATATTCTGCGTCTGCCTCATTTTCCTTGTTGTATAAAGCCAGGCTCTAACCTGTGATAAGGTTCCAGCCCCCTGGGCTCTCTTCACAGATAGGTTTGTTTGAAGACGAGTTTCTTGCTTACAGACAAAGCCAGCCTGGTTCTTTCATCTTTTTTTCCGGATTCTGGGAGGCTACAACTGGAGCGTGGTTCAGGCTTATTGGTGTTTGCCAATGAAATGAGCTTTAGTCCATGGGAGCTTAGGTCTGAACAAATCTGCTAGCATCTAGTGCTAGAAGATACGTAGGGGAAGCTGCTGCAAACTGACTTGGTTACTTCTCCTTTATAAGTTAATCTGGGCAGATACCCAACTAAGTTTGGGGACTGGGTGCAATGAGGAAGAGGCCAGTTTGGTCAGCATCAGCATGAGTGTGGTCTAACTTGTGACAGCAGCCTTGTCCTTTCTGCGCAGTGTGTTTTTGGTTTCTTCTGCCTCTTTGAGATGGGCCAGATTTCTTTTGGCATATTAAAAGGCCTGCCTTTACCTGTTCTGAAGCAGACTCAGAGAAAGCTAAAGCTGATCATCTGTGATGAGGGTCTTCTCCAGGCACTCGAGCAGGGAGGCTTGCTCTGGTCCTCCCCTGCTCCACAGACCAAGGGCACGCTTCCTAGTACCGGCACGCACAGATGGAAAATGTTTGGTGGCTAACTCTGCAGGCTATACAGATTCAATAAACTGCTAGAAAGGCTCTGCATAGGATGTGTAACAAGGAGAGAGGGGGTGAAGGCCCTGTCAGCAGCCGTGAAGGGCCAGCTGCTTCTTCCCCTCTGCATTTTGATATGCAAATGATCTGGCCACCTCACCTGTTTATGGAACAAGGGCTGTTCGGTGCATGTCTTCTCTTTTCCATCAAGCTCTGTAATCAACATCAGCCTCTCACTTAAGAAAAACCCACGGGCATCTGTTTTTCAAAAAGAAGGCTCTCTTTCAACGAAACTTATTCTGGGTCTGAAAGTAACCACCTCCTGCTTTCCCTCCAGGGCAGTAAAGCCCATCGTTCTTTCAGCAACGAGACAGTAAAACTCGTGAATCATAACTGCAAGAAAATGGTGTTGCACAAACGGTTGTGCTCCCGTCACACTTACCGTGTTAACTTTCCTTGCTGCTGCTAATATCCCCACTTACATTCCTCCTGGTAACAGTATTAACATGCAAATCTTCTGCAGCATCTTCTATTCACTAAGCTAGGAACATTTGAACTTAACTGCGTTTTATCAGTGCGCATTTGTTTACTGCTATAATTTTAAAATGCACTAAAGGAGCCATTTTGTTCAATACTATTTTTTTAAATTCCAGCAAAGACAGGAGAGATTTTTTTCTTGGAGAAAACAAATCAGAAGTGGTGCCTGACCTCTTCTGTTTTCACTGGGGGCTTTTATTTAAAACTCCAAGCTTTGACACACAATATATGCAATATTTTATTTATTGGTGTTGCATACTGTCTTAATGTGTATAAATCTTTTTATTTTTGCTTTTTCTCATCTCCTCCAGTAGACCGTTTCCTTTTAGAGGCCTTTGTTTATCTGTGTATACATGTAGAAGGAACTTAAGTGGAGACCACTAATATAAAAGAAGCACACTTTTCCTGGAGATCAGTGTTATATGTTATATGACCTACCTAGATTACCATTTGAGGGATTGCATTTCGAACCGTCATTCTGTTCCGCCTTTCTCCTTGTGCAGTGGCAGTTCCCCCTCCTCGCTCTCTCTCTGCAGCCCCCCCACCTCACCTTTCAGCTTGCTTCAAAGGTTTGGGGCAGATTGGGAGGACACAGCTGGGCTGCTTGAGAGAGGAGAGAATGGGGAAGTCCTGTGCCCCTGGCGGCAGCCTTCAGCTGGCCAAATGACCGTTCTGAATCCAACCCACACTGACTGTATTTATCCCAAGTCCTCTTGCTCATCCCTCTCTGTTAACTTCCTTTCAGATTGCACTAATGTGTCTTTCTTTATATTATGAAATATTGCTATTATTCATGTACAGTAAGTTGACAGTATAACTTGGAATGCTTTGTGCTGCCTTTTTAAATTTTAAAGCTGCTTTTTTTCAGTAACACTCTTTAAGTATCTGGTTGTGCTGCTGTAGGTTCATTTGTGTATTGAAGCAGATGTAGGAAATGTGGCGCTATGATAGAAAACTTGAGGGAATACTGTTTTGTGATTGTGTTTGTATTGTTACTGTTATGCCTACCATCCCACAGGGTGGAGAAGGAGCCTTTTAAATTTCTGGTCAGCAACAATTTTTCTGGGCGGGCTGCTTTGAAGAGGAGATGAGAGTTGGTAGCCAACACTCACCCCGAATGCTAGGATGTCCCATGGACAGCCATTTCATCCTCCAAACCCCTCTGGCTTGACAACTGTGGTGTTAACTGGGACTGGGCAGCGGGAGGAATTGGTCCGTGGGGTCTTCAGCAACTGGTCCCTACATCGAAGCCATAGGAAGCCTCCACATGCTCAAAGCTATAATGAAGGAGCCAGCACGAAGCACTGTGTGGTTTGGTCAGCAGACCCTCTAGGGAAGGCTTACATCTTCAGTCCTGCAGTCACTTACCTCTGCTTAACAGTGAAGACCTGGGGAAGTGTGTTCTGCAGGACCAAGCCTTGGTGCCTCAATTGCCTCCTGAGCATTAGCAGTCTCTAGAGACAACATTTGCAATCTGACGTCCTCCTGATGTTTTGGATTTCAACTTCCATCAGTCCCATCCAGCATGGCCAATGGTCAGAAATCCTGGGAGTTGTAGCCCAAAAGATCTGGAGGCTACCATGCTAAGTAAGGCTGCTCTAGAGTCTAGCATCCTAAGGCATTCTCCTAAGGCATTTGTGCCCTAGATTTGGCCATTCAAGCAAGTGGAGAGAAACCATCCTCAACCAATTCTTCAGTAGCATTGAGCAGCTCTGGAGAAACACGAAGCTCTCCTTAGCTAGCCTCCAGGTAGGATTGTGGAAGAGTTCCCCGTTTCTCTACCTTCCATCCTCAATGGCAAGAGGGCGCAAGAGTGAGACCAGGACTGGGCTTTGTTCTCCTGCAAAAGCTCAAGCTGAAGATGGAAGCAAAGCTGATTGCTCACAGGGATGTGGCATCCCTCTGACATTAGGACTTTGTATAGGGCAGGGCTGCCAGTGGGAAGCCTGCCTTGCCCTTAGCTCAGGTACCTCAATTGCATTAGGTGGATGTAGTTGGCTGGGCCTGGCAGCTGTGAAATGTCATCTGGGGCAAGCACTAAACTGTTCCAATTGAGGGGAATGCCTGCTGCCTCCATTATTCAGGCTACCTCCAATCACGAAATATCACTTTCCTACCTTTGCCTCGTATTTTTTTCTGTGCTAGCTGTTTGCAAGGAGTTTGCCTTTTAGCTGTCTGGCGTGGTTGCTCTGGAGGTTTGGTTTTGTGTTTTGCCTGATTGTAATGTATGTGGCCTGATGTCAGAGTTGGCCTGAGGTCAGGGTCTTTTTGTATCTGCCTCATTCCCCCCCCCACTGCAAAAACATTTTCGACCACTAGATGGTGTGGAGGAATACAAGTTTTTGCTGATAACCTCCGGTAGGTGTTGTTGGCTATCTATCTGATACAGATTGGGTTTTGTGTTTTAACATCGCCATCATGGTGCAGCTGCAACTTTCTGAGATCCTAAGCACGTTTTCAACATATGAGTACTGTGTGTTTATGTAGTTTTTCAGGTTTTTTTTTCTTTCATTTTTGCAATAGCAACTTGTTTGACTGTCCTAAACTAGGTGTTGACTGGTTACCAAAATTGCTGTTTGTGAAATTGCCAGTGATATTTTTTTTCCTGTAAGACAATAAAGTCCTAAAATCACCAAATATTAATTCCTCCCACCCAATGTCTTACCATATTGCCATGGTAATGATTTTAACACATATTTGTATATAAACAAACCAGGTAGTAACGGTTGTAAGTTCAGACATCTTTTTTCCCTTCAATTAAAATACAATAATGCTTCCAGTGCTACAAAACCAGTGTACAGTTGTTAAACAAGTTGTAAATAAAGGCTTATATAAAAGTTTTGCTGCTTTATTTCACAAAACAGTGTAATTTATCACATGAATTTTTCTTTGTAACAGCTCAATGGGGAAAAGAAGGTTGCAACAAGGACTCATTCAAGGCCTCTCGGTAAATGTCAGGGCAAAAATAAAATCTGAATCCCAGCTTTCTTGGATCATGTCCAACATTATCTAGAAAACTGGGAAAGCAGTAGACCTCCAATTGTTTTGGCCTTCACATCCTGGCATTCCTGGCCATCCTGGCAGGGGGGGCCTGGAAATTAAAAGTCCAAAACATCTGGAGATCTTTGTGTCTACTCTTCTGCATATGTTGAGCAGCTGTTCTGGCACAAAGTGGCAGCAATGAATGAAAAACTAAATCCTCAAGTCTCTGCAAGAAATATGGTTGGTTTGCCAGCATTACTCAGGAGTCCAACAACAGCTGGCAGATGCAAGCAGGACAGCAGAACATCGAGAGGTTCTTAAAGCAGAAAAATGTTGGCTTGATGCTACAAAGAACACTTTTGCAAGGAAAGAATACGTAGAGCTTGACATATTTCTAAATAGCACTGGATACTGGGAGCTGTAAATTCTGCAGAATCTCTCATTTTGTCCTGGTTCAGCAAACCCCTTCATCAGGCTGCTCCAACCTGGTATCCTCCAGATGTTTTGGAGCATGCCATACTAGTGGGCATAATGGGAGCTGAAGTCCAAAACATACAGAGGGCACTTTGGAGAATGCTGCCCTCAAGGCTTCTGAATGATGCTATATTCCTGTAATTTGAAAGCATAGAATTGCTATTTTGCAACATGCTATTTCTGTCCTTTATATCAACATTTTACATTTACATAAGCTGAAGGTCTTCGCAAATGGCCATCTCCTGAATAGGTGAGAATGTTATAGTTACTGCTGGGATATTTTTTTGTGTCCTGCTGCCTCTAATCAAACCAGTTTTGTAAGTTAATTATATGAACATTTAGTCCTTCTATTTTATGAGAGCATGAAGTTACCAATGCAAATTAAGATCATGCCCAAGAGGAATTTGCTTGAAAGCACTTTGTGTCAAAATAAAGTTTTGGGCCAGATTAGGGGGAAGGGTATGTATTAGTTGGGTTACAAAAGATCAGTTCCTCTGGCTAGGCTATCCAAAGGACACATGGCTGGCCAGTCTGTCAGTAGCATATATATTTGGGGTGGTTTGCAATTGGAGTGACTTGCAAATGCAAGACTGCATTTGGAGGGGTTCCAGTTCCCAATGAATTTGAAGTTAATGGATGCAATATGGGAACCGACTAACTTCAACCTTGCCACCAGGAAAAGAAAATGTGGCTTTGTTGGAATGGTTTAGTAAAGACAAGCCAAGACTCCGAATTGAACTCTTTACAACATAGAAATGCATACACCGATTGGTAACAGGCAGTCCTAAGTAACCAAACCTTATGCCAAAACAGGAGAGATCTGCATAGTAGAGTGCAGAAAATATACTCAAGTGGAGAAAGAACAACGTCTGAAACTTAATTCCCGAATTGCCTGGCAAAACCAGAGAGCCTCTGCTACACAATACAATTGGTGGGGGTGGTGGCGGTCTTGCTAAACAAGCTGCTGCACCACAGGCTTCCTAATTACATTCTACATTCATGCTTGTCATTTAATTCTACCTTGCTGAAAACTACCTGCAATATTTTGGATTGGGTGATTAGTTTTATGTACCTTTCTAGCTTGCTCAATCTTTTTTTAAAAACAAACTTCCAGGGCTCAAAGTTTTAGTTTTCAAGGCAACCTTGTTATAGATGAGATGCCAATAAAAAACATGGAAGAGGCAGCTTTGAAGCTATAACTTTTTCCTTTCAGATTAACCATCAAAATACAGTTAGTAAGTTTGGTGTAACTGGGATAGGGAATACAATCCTCTAGTTGCAGCCAACTTTTAAAGGGCATTAACTTTTCACCATCTAGCGCCTTTCCAGCTACACCCCAAATGCTTAGTATGTAATAGCCATTATGCTGAGGTGCAGCCTGTTGCCATGAATGCTCTTTGTATACTTTTGTATATTGTTTGAATATTTTAAATCCTTAAACCTGCATGCAAATGATGTGGCTTAACTTCTGATAATATAGTAATTTCTTTAAAGACCTTATTCTAAATAGTAAGACTTAATCTTTATTGCCGTTATCTGTACTAAATAGACTGAAGAGTAGCACTGGCCAGAATCACAAACATGGTACATCTATTGTACATATTATATAGCAATCCAAGTGCCATGCAAGAAAGAAGCTACCTGTACCCATAGTACTTGCAGGTAGTCCCCCACAAGGTGCTTTAAAACAATGAAATTGCTTGTAGCTTGCCAACACCTAAAAGATCCATGAGTGGCTCTGTTATCAAGCATTTGCAGGCCAAAAGTGAGTGAATGTACCTTTTCCTCCTATTTCCATATAGACGTTTCATCTCAAAATTCTGCCGTTGACCAGCACATTAACATAACCCCATTTGTAGCTTACAACATTCTTGGCATATTGTTCTAACCTGCCATGTGAATGGGACTTGCCACCAGCACCAAGAAAAGATCTGTTCAGATGAAAATGGCACATGGACCATTTGCAGAGTCACATAGGAAAAATGCACGGGCTAAGTAGAGCAGAGATGCAGTAGTGCTGTAATTGTATTTTCTAACCACCTGAATCTCCTCTGAGATGCCAGTTTCAGGAAAGCGTTCACACTTCGCTGCAGATGCCTTATGCCCCTGTTCATCAACATCTGAGGCCAATTTCTGCCGGCCTGAGCTGACCAGTGAAGATCTTCCTGTACCACACTTCTCGAATGTTCCCCAGATTTAATGCCCCTCACGTATGACCTTTGCTTAGCATCAAAGACCACAAACCTTATTTGCACAGACCTTTCTAACCACTAACTGGATCTACTTTTATGCTGCTGTGATGGGTCATCTACTTATATTACCTGTTGATCAAGTCACTTGATCACTTGATTTCATTTACTGCTTGAACACATACTACTTTGTAAAAATTGTAACAATGGCCTGAGCTCTTAAAATCTAACCCTACCTTTGCACTCCAGGGATTTCAAGACCATTCAGCTTTCTGCAGTTACAAAATTGTGGTACAAGGTGTTCTTGTAGCATCCTCCTTTCAGCTCATCCTTAATATATATTGTTGCTCCTTTTAGTCAAATATAAAATACTTTGGCAGGAAGGAACTCAGTATCATGAATTCCTCTGAACCATGTGGATAGGACTGTAGCCTCTCTTTTAAGCACATTTTTTCAAGTTTACAAATTTTTAGGGGAACACATTGGGCCAAGAACTTATCCAGTGTAATTATTATGAACCATCACTGAAGAAAATGTCTGAAACCTATTTGTCTGGAAAACACACTAACATCAAAAAAGAATCAACTTAGCAACAGTCTTGAAAATGCTTTATTGAACTGTGTGTCTTACTGTAATGTGCAGGTGTGTTTGAAAAGACTACAGCTTGAAAACTGGTTTTGAAAATCCTGAACAATTTAAAAAAAAATCCCTATCAGGGTTAACTCCCAAGATAACCAGAGGGCTGGCAGAGAATCCCCCCTTAAAACATTCTGTTGCAGAGACTAAAAAGAAAAAAAGAACAAATCTAGTACTGTATTTTATATAGAAATAACAGGTTGGAAACTAGAAGCTGTGGGTGGGATTTTTACCATTTTAGATTAGCAACAATTTCCAAGTTCTAGTAAAACCCCACCCTGCTGTTTGAGTCTGAAAGTTTCATTCTAAGATGCTTGTAATGTGGCAGAAGTGGAAGGGTACAGGGGAAAGAGGGGTGAAGAGAGTGAGAGAAACAGAGAGAAACATGATTATGGTCTAAGCCTAGTTTAGATTTAATCCGAAGCTGTGTGCAATTTTGTCTTTATAGTCTAACTTTACATTCCCTTCCCCACCACCCCAAAACCAAAACCTCTCCTGTCCCTGCTTTGGGGCTATTATGAAAGTCTATGCACAAAAACACTGTACATTTTTATACATACAGGATTAATAGTATAGGCATGTAGGTGGCATGATTCAATTAAAAGGCTTTTTTACTTTGTATGCCAGAAAAAAATCAAGAAGGAATCATAAATAAAAAGGTGCTAGAGTTAGCATTAAGAATGCAGTTGTAATATTGACAAAAGTTTGTGAAGTCACCTCCTCAAGCTCTCCTGATACTGACAAGTGTCTGCAAACTAGGAAGCAAATACATAAATAACTCAAAAACATATGGTTGAGACTGTGAAACTTTTAAAACTAAGACAACATCATTCAGGACAGGTTAACTTTTGTTTTCTTTTAAGACAATGAATAAATGAATCATCTACACCTGAATAAAACATACTTTAACAGTTCAAAAAAATTAACAACCACAAAAAGAAAAAAAAAACTTTAAACAAAGCTGAACCAGTATTTGATTATAGGGCACACAAAAGCCCCCCTTTGCCAGAAGGATTTGGCAGTGGCCTCACTTTTGTGTCTCCTAGAGATGCATAAAAAGCAGGCTGAAACTCTGTGTGGATGTGTGATGGTTATAGACAGCAACACAAAGGTCACACTGAACAAAATGCCACACCCTGGAAATGACAAGCTGTCCCACTGCAGAGCTTGCACGATGTGCAAACAGCACATCCAAAAAGGTGGTTCAGACATTATTCAAAAGCTACTCGATGGCCACACGCGGCTAAGTGAGCACTAACTTCTTGGTCTTGTAACCTTTGAATAATGGGAAAGCTTTTTTCTTGGGAGGGGGTTGTTTATAGTTTTATTCCTTGTATTTAAATTTTTTTAAATGACAAGGTCACTAAAACTCATGCACGCTGCAAAAAACCTCATGCAGTAAAGGTAAACCATCCAAGCAGTTTTTATTCATTAATATTCATAAATACACACAGCAGCTTCATTAGAGATTTCATTTTTTCCTCTTCAGTTTGAATGTGGAGTATTAGGAGAGCCTTTTGCATGTCAAAAGTACAGGGCACAGAGGGTTCTCCTCT